TCTCACGGATCTGCGTTGACTGACGATCGTTTGCATTGCTGCGTCGACTTGAACTCCTCCCGTCATACCAGGATCACCCGCACGCCGCTGAGCCCAAGGTGCGCACCAAAACCTCCAGTAGCAGCAGCAGCAGCGGCGGAGGAAGCAGCGGTAGCGGGGGGTCATCCGCGCTGGATAAGCTCCGCGAGCTGCTGCGCGCGGCGGAGGCGGAGCTGGAAAAGGCGTGCGCGCGGACCGTAGAGACGGAGGAGGAGGCGCGCAGGGTGGCGGAACGCGCCATAGAGATCTCCGACGCCGCCGCCAAAGCGGAAGCTGCCGCGGATGCCGCGATGGCGCAGGTGGAGGCGGAGCTGGCGGAGGAGGCGCAGGCGCAGGATGCGCTGCGGCAGGCTGACGTGGCGTTTCACGAGCAGGCGGAGGTGCTGGTGGCGGCGGAGGCGCAGCAACAGGCGGTGGAGGCGGGGATGGCGGGGATGGCGGAACAGGGGGTTCAGGAGGGGGAGAGCTTGCGGTCGGGCGTGGTTAATTTGGTGCAGGAGGTGCGGGAGGAGCTTGCGCGGCGGGAGGCGGAGCTGAGGACGCGGACGGAGGCAGCCGCGCAAGCGACTGGAAGGCGCGTGAGGGCGCAGGAGAGCGTCCGCGCTGGTGGCAGCGGCGGGGGAGGCACGGGCGCGTGCGGGGCAGGCGAGGGGAGGAGGTGTGGGAGCGCATGGGCGTGGCGGAGAGGGCGGTGGCGTTCGAGCTGGAGGCGAGCCAAGAGCGTGGCGGAGGGCCGCCAAGGCGCTGGCGAGGGCGGAGAAACTGGTTACTGGATATCGCCAAGGTGTGTGTGTGGCAGCGGCGTGTATTCTAGTGCTAACCGGAAAACCCTGCCCGGAAACCACTCTGATCACCTCCCTGCGTCACTCGTGACTTCCTATTTCCCCAGCACACTTTCTGCTTCCCGCCCCTTCTTTCCCCCCCGCCACCCATTTCCACCTTATCCCAGGCGGAGGCGGAGGCAGCAAAGCTAGCCGCGGAGAAGGCGACGCTGCTGGCGAGCGAGGTTGGCGGGCGTGTCAGCCGCGCTGCGCGCCACAGTGAAGGGCGGACGGGCTGCTGCTGGCATGCCCACCACCGACTCTGATAGCGACTCCGACAGAGGACTCTGATAAGGACTCTGAGAAGGACGTGGATAGTGACGCGGGTAGTAAGTTGGATAGGGCGCCTGATTGGGCAGGAGAGGGTGTGAAGGAAGGGGAGACGAGGAGGATGTGGGAGGGGTCGTTGCAGAGGCGGTGGGGAAGGCAGAGGATAAGGGGAAGAAGGGGGTGAAGGCTGGAGCGGAGGAGGCAGCAGGGGAGGAGCGAGGGGTCGGGCGAAGTGCGGTGGTTGATGAGGGAGGGAAGGACGTGCGGAAGGATGGGGTTTAAGATGGCTTGAAGGAGGGGGGGATAAAGGGAAGAGGGGAGGCTGATCTGGGACCTAGCGCCCCTGCAGACACTGCTGCTGGGGATGCGATCAAGGGTGATTCAGGGGAGGCGGGAGCTGGGGAAGAGGAGGAACTCACTGCTGTTGCCGCGTCAGCAGCAGCAGTCCCCGGCTCAGATGAAGCCTCTCCTGCTGCTGGCCCATCTTCCAAGTCACCCTCATCCTCCTCATCCTCTTCCTCCTCTTCCTCCTCATCCTCCATCTTCCTCCTCCTCCTCTGCATCCCCCACCAAGAAGTCATCGCAGTTCTTCTCAGCGTCATTCTTCTCGGCGGACGGCCATGAGGTGGAGGATGCACTCAAGTGGGTGCGATCAGCGCTGCCCTCGCTGCTGCGCCATCTGCCCAAGCTCATTCTCGCACTCACCGTGCTCCTCCTCGGGTCAGTGCCGTGTGCTGCTGTCGTGCTTGCTTGTTGTGCTGCTCCCAGACCTACTGCCCCTGTGCGCCAGGCGGCATCTGTGCTGCAAACTCGGCCTCGTGGTCCCTTGTGCTGCATGGCGCCTGGCTTGCCTTCCCTCCTCTCCCTTCCCGTCTGCTTTTGAGTCGACTCAAATGCTGCATGGCGCCTGGCTTGCCTTCCCTCCTCTCCCTTCCCGTCTGCTTTTGAGTCGACTCAAATGCTGCATGGCGCCTGGCTTGCCTTCCCTCCTCTCCCTTCCCGTCTCATCGCTGTTCACTTCACTCTGCTCCTCTCTCTCCCTTTCCCACCCCAGAGGCGTGGCACTCAAAGCGCGCATGGCGCACAGGGCAGGAGGGCACGCACCTCCCACCACAGTCGTGCAGATGGACGGCGTACAGGGAAGGGTACTGGCTGGGGCTGCAGGGGACGCCACCGTGCAGGAAGCAGCGGCACTAGGGTCAGCAGTTGGGGCAGTGGGGGCAGCAGCAGCAGGTACAAGGGCCGGTTGCCAGGGGTAACCCGGTAGTGTCGGCAGTACAGGCGGTGGTGGGGCGAGCCAAGGCGCTCATTGACAAACTGCCCCGACACGAGGTGAGTAACATGCATGCACGCACGTGTTGGCAGGACACTGTTCCTCTCCTTCCTCTCCTCTCCCTGTTTCTCTCCTCCCTGTACTCACTCTCCTATTCTTGAGCACTTCGTTTGTGCTCTTACCATTCATCTCCCACCAGTCTGCACTGCCTCCATCACTCCCTGTGTCACGCTGCTTCCTGCCACGCCTCTGCCTCTGCCCCTGTCCCTGCACTGCATGCTCATCCTTCCTTTTGAGTCGACTCAAAAGTCTTTCCTGCCACGCCTCTGCCTCTGCCCCTATCCCTGCACTGCATGCTCATCCTTCCTTTTGAGTCGACTCAAAAGTCTTTCCTGCCACGCCTCTGCCTCTGCCCCTGTCCCTGCACTGCATGCTCATCCTTCCTTTTGAGTCGACTCAAAAGTCTTTCCTGCCACGCCTCTGTCTCTGCCCCTGTCCCTGCACTGCATGCTCATCCTTCCTTTTGAGTCGACTCAAAATTCTGCCCCTGTCCCTGCACTGCATGCTCATCCTTCCTTTTGAGTCGACTCAAAATTCTGCCCCTGTCCCTGCACTGCATGCTCATCCTTCCACTCCCGTGTTCCTCCTCTCTCCCCCCCTCCCTCCTTCCCTCCCTCTCCCCCCAACCCTCCACCAGCCGAACGAGGAGGAGACGCAGCTGTTTGACGTGCTGTGGCTGCTGCTGGCCAGTGTCGTCTTCGTCCCCATCTTCCAGAAGCTGCCCGGAGGTACTCTCCCTCCCGCCACCCATGCTGTCATGCTAATGCTGACTTGCATGCTGACATACATGCTGACATCCATGCTGACATCCATGCTGACATCCATGCTGCCACCTGTACCTCTCTCCCTCATACCTCTCTCCCTCCTTATCTCTCTCCTGCCCTCTCTCCCTCCTACCCCCCTCCCTTCTACCCCCCTCCATTCTACCCCTCTCCTTCCTAACCCTCCCTCCCAACACCACAGGCAGCCCCGTGCTGGGGTACTTGGCAGCGGGCGCGCTCATCGGCCCGTATGCGCTGTCAATCATAAAGCACGTGCACGGCACCAAGGCTCATTGCTACCTCCCCGCTCTCTCCCTCCCACCTCTTGCCTGTCACGCAGGCAGCCCCGTGCTGGGTTACCTGGCAGCGGGCGCGCTCATCGGACCGTACGCGCTGTCAATCATAAAGCATGTGCACGGCACCAAGGCTCATTGCTACCTCCCCGCTCTCTCCCTCCCACCTCTTGCCTGTCACACAGGCAGCCCCGTGCTGGGTTACCTGGCAGCGGGCGCGCTCATCGGACCGTACGCGCTGTCAATCATAAAGCATGTGCACGGCACCAAGGCCCTCGCAGAGTTTGGCGTGGTGTTCCTCATGTTCAACATCGGCCTCGAGGTCAGTTCTGCTCCACCATGGACTATGCAAGCGAGTTCCGTGCTCTCTATCCCTGCGCCCTCACGTGCTCGTCAACACCACCCTCACATCACACATCTACTCGCATTCATCCCACCATCGCCTCTTCTCCTGCCCTCTCACTCCACGTCTCTATCTCCCTGTCAAACCCCTTCCCCCGCGGCCACACCAGCTGTCGCTGGAGCGCCTGCGCTCCATGCGCAAATACGTCTTTGGGCTCGGCTCTGCTCAGGTGTGTGTGTGCCCACTGCCTCTTGCGCACCGCCTCTTTCCCATCCCACTGCCTCTTGCCCTCTGCCTGTGTGCCTCCCTTCTCTCTTCCCTAAATGCTCTATCCCTCTTTTCACAATCTCCTCTGGCACCCCAATTGTACACCTCTGCCCATATGTTCAATTTGTTCTCTTTAAGCCAACCCATATCTCTAACCTGTATTCCTCTCCCTCATCTCCCCCGTTCTCCCTGCTGGTACTGACAGGTGCTGGTGTCAGCGCTGGCGATAGGGCTGTGTGTGCTGGCAGTGGCGCGTGTGTCGGGCCCAGCAGCCATTGTCATTGGCAACGGCCTTGCCCTCTCCTCCACCGCCGTTGTCCTCCAGGTGGGTGGGTCTCTGCTGTTTGTGCCTCAGCTGGGTCTCTGCTGTTGTGCCTCAGCTGGGTCTCTTCTGTGCCTCAGGTAGGTCTCTGTTGTGCCTCAGGTGGGCCTCTGTTTTACCTCAGGTGGGTCTCTGTTGTGCCTCAGGTGGGTCTCTGTTGTGCCTCAGGTGGGTCTCTGTTGTGCCTCAGGTGGGTCTCTGTTGTGCCTCAGGTGGGTCTCTGCTGTGCCTCAGGTGGGTCTCTGTTGTGTCTCAGGTGGGTCTCTGTTGTGCCGCAGGTGGGTCCCTGTTGTGCCTCAGGTGGGTCTCTGCTGTGCCTCAGGTGGGTCTCTGTTGTGCCTCAGGTGGGTCTCTGTTGTGCCTCAGGTGGGTCTCTGCTGTGCCTCAGGTGGGTCTCTGTTGTGCCTCAGGTGGGTCTCTGTCTGTTGTGCCTCAGGTGGGTCTCTGTTGTGCCTCAGGCGTGTCTCTGTTGTCCCCTCCGGTGGGTCGCTCTTGCTCTTCAGGTGGGTCTCTGTGTGTTTGTCTCGAGTTCAAACTAGAATGAGCCACTTCACATCATGCTTGCAAGCAACTCCCGGTCCTCCCATTCCTCCACTGTACTGACAGTACACCTAACCACCACCTCACTCCGCTCCTCCCGGCCCGCCCGTCAGGTGTTGCAAGAGCGAGGGGAGAGCACGTCGCGCCATGGGCGAGCCACCTTCTCCGTGCTGCTCTTCCAGGTCGCTGCTTGCACCCTTGCACACTTGCATCCCTCTTTTCTTGTCGTGCACCTCATGCCACTCCGCACTCTTCACTCTTCACTCTGCATGCTGCTCTGCACCCTGCATCCCGCGCTGCACCCAGCCACCATCTTTCTGCCCTCGCCTCGCATCCCCACCCACCCGCCCCTTCACGTCCATCTCAACAATGCCAACCAACCAAGCCAAGTCCCATCATCAACCGTGCAGTGACATGGCATATGTCCTTATGTACCATCATCCCATCCCATCCCATCCCATCCCATCCCATCCCATCCCATCCCATCCCCTCATCCATCCTTGTGTTCCCTCCCATGCCCCATGCTTCATGCAACACCCCATCCCATGTGCCATGTGCCATATCCACACGCCATGCCACAGGATCTAGCAGTGGTGGTGCTGCTCATCCTCATTCCGCTTCTCTCCCCCAACTCCACCGGAGGGGTGAGTCACTCTCCCCTCCTCCCTCACTCCTCTCCTCTCTCTCTGCTCCCCCTCACAGCCTAATCCGCCCATACTTCTCCCCTCCTACATACATGGTACAATAATCTCTTCAGTCAATTTATCTTCACTCCTTGTGTCCCATCCCATCACCTCACATGCCTAGTGGTGGTACTTCTCTACCCAGTGCCACTCTCCACCTCTCCTCTCCGCCACCAATCAGGCTCTTCCCTATCCTTGTTCATTCAATGTGCACCAGGGCGTGGGCTTCAGGGCGATAGCGGAGGCGCTGGGGATGGCGGCAGTGAAGGCTGTCATCGCCATCGCAGGCATCATTGCGGGCGGCCGACTGGTGCGTCCTGCTGCTTGGGGTTGGGGTAGGCGGGTGGGTGCTGCTTTTGGAGGTTGGGTTGGGGCTGGCTGGCTGATGGGTGCTGCTGCTGGGGGTGGCGGCAGTGAAGGCTGTGATCGCCATTGACGGCATCATTCATTGCGGGCGGCCGACTGGTGCGTGCTGCTGCTGGCGGTTGGGGGCTGGCTGAGGGTTTTGGGAAATCTCGCTGAGGGTTTTGGGAAATCTCAAAGGTTGTTTTTAGGAGAACCATGATTGATCCTCCTCTTTGTTTCCAATTCCCACATTCAACCCACACCAACCCCTCCCCTCCCATCCTCCCAGCTGCTGCCCCCCATGTACTGCAGCATGGCGGAGAATCACAATGCGGAGATCTTAAACCCCATGCACCCCCTCTCATCCCCTCTCACCGCCTCACACCCCACCCCTCCATCCCTCCCCAGCTGCTGCGCCCCATATACCGCAGCATGGCGGAGAATCACAACGCGGAGATCTTTGCCGCCAACACACTGCTCGTGGTGCTCGGCACCTCCGTGCTCACTGCCCGGGTGAGCACTGTGGGGGGGCGGGTGACGGGGGTCGCAGGGGAAAGGGCGGGAAGTAGGCAGGGTGCAGGGGTGAGGGAGTGGAGACGTTTTTGTGTGCTGGTCACGGCTGGGCATGGCGAGAGAGTGGCAGGGAGGCAGCATTGGGGATCTCACTGCAAGCTGAGGGGTTTGCTGCCCGCATGGAGGGGTTTGCCTGCTATCATTCTCACAGGCTCGCTTGCCTGCCTTACTGCCATGCGCCATTGCATTATTGCCACGCCAGCAGCACCCCTTACCGTCCCTGCTGTGAAGTCTCTCAACCCCATGCCCCTGCGCATGCGCATCCGTCCACCCTTGCCAGGCGGGGCTGTCCATGGCGCTGGGAGCGTTCCTGGCGGGCCTGCTGCTCTCAGAGACCGAGTTCGCCCTGCAGGTGCGTGGGAGGGTGATGTGTGCTGAGGATGTATGCTGCGCTGCTGAAAAAGGACGGAGTCGTGGGGACACATGGGAGGGCGCTGGCTGATTCATTTTCCTCTGCACCTGCCAACTTGCTTAGTCTCTTTGTCACTAAAGCATCGCTCTGCTGCCCTCACCAGCTCATGCGCCCCTTAGTGTTTTCACCACCCTCCCCTTCTTGGGGCCCTCCGCCTCCTTACTATTCGGCATTACCTTTCCGCTTCTCGCTGCCCTCCACCTCCCGCGTGCCGCCCTCCGCCTCCCCGTGCGTGGCACAGGTGGAGTCAGACATCAACCCCTACCGCGGGCTGCTGCTGGGCCTCTTCTTCATGACTGTACGTCGCACACTTGCACTTGAGAGTCGACTCAAAAGTCACCTCTTCTTCATGACTGTACGTTGCACACTTGCACTTGCAAGCACAGGTAGCACATGCGTCCTCCCCATCAATAGACGGCTTTTGAGGCTCCTCAAAGGTGGGCCTGCGCGCAGTTTACCCACGAACAGAGTCCGCACCCAGTCGAACACTCACATCCTCTCACCCGCGGCCGCACGCTCATGCACACTTGCCCACGTGCTCTGTTGAACACTCCACTGCTGCTTGGCCCAAGCTGCTAGTCTTGTACATGCCTTGTGACCAACTACCGCCCGCCTGCTGCCCCTCCATCAGTCGCTTACTCTCCCCCCCTTACCACGCATCCCTCTTCCCCTAACCCCCCCAGGTGGGCATGTCAATCGATCCCAAGCTGCTGGTGGCGCGTTTCCCGCTCATCCTGGCAGCGCTCGCAGTTCTGATAGTGGGCAAGACGGCTCTGCTGGCGGGCATGGGGCGCCTCTTTGGCCTCTCCCCTGTCGCTGCTGTGCGCACGGGCCTGCTGCTTGCGCCTGGAGGGGAGTTCGCGTTTGTTGCCTTTGGGGAGGCTGTTACCAAGGTGTGTGTGAGAGGGAGCAAGATAGGGAGTTGGGTGGAGGGGATGGGGTGGGGGAGGAGGGTGTTCTGTGCGGGGCTTGGGGCGCCTCTTCGGCGTCTCACTCGTCGCTGCTGTGCGCACGGGCCTGCTGCTCGCGCCTGGAGGGAAGTTTGCATTTGTGGGCTTTGGGGAGGCTGTGAGCAAAGGTGCGGGGTTTGGGGAGGCTGTGAGCAAAGGTGCGGGGTTTGGGGAGGCTGTGAGCAAAGGTGCGGGGTTTGGGGAGGCTGTGAGCAAAGGTGCGGGGTTTTGGGAGGCTGTGAGCAAAGGTGCGGGGTTTGGGGAGGCTGTGAGCAAAGGTGCGGGGTTTGGGGAGGCTGTGAGCAAAGGTGCGGGGTTTGGGGAGGCTGTGAGCAAAGGTGCGGGGTTTGGGGAGGCTGTGAGCAAAGGTGCGGGGTTTGGGGAGGCTGTGAGCAAAGGTGCGGGGTTTGGGAGGCTGTGAGCAAAGGTGCGGGGTTTGGGGAGGCTGTGAGCAAAGGTGCGGGGTTTGGGGAGGCTGTGAGCAAAGGTGCGGGGTTTGGGGAGGCTGTGAGCAAAGGTGCGGGGTTTGGGGAGGCTGTGAGCAAAGGTGCGGGGTTTGGGGAGGCTGTGAGCAAAGGTGCGGGGTTTGGGGAGGCTGTGAGCAAAGGTGCGGGGTTTGGGGAGGCTGTGAGCAAAGGTGCGGGGTTTGGGGAGGCTGTGAGCAAAGGTGCGGGGTTTGGGAGGCTGTGAGCAAAGGTGCGGGGTTTGGGGAGGCTGTGAGCAAAGGTGCGGGGTTTGGGGAGGCTGTGAGCAAAGGTGCGGGGTTTGGGGAGGCTGTGAGCAAAGGTGCGGGTTTGGGGAGGCTGTGAGCAAAGGTGCGGGGTTTGGGGAGGCTGTGAGCAAAGGTGCGGGGTTTGGGGGAGGCTGTGAGCAAAGGTGCGGGGTTTGGGGAGGCTGTGAGCAAAGGTGCGGGGTTTGGGGAGGCTGTGAGCAAAGGTGTGGGGTTTGGGAGGCTGTGAGCAAAGGTGCGGGGTTTGGGGAGGCTGTGAGCAAAGGTGCGGGGTTTGGGGAGGCTGTGAGCAAAGGTGCGGGGTTTGGGGAGGCTGTGAGCAAAGGTGCGGGGTTTGGGGAGGCTGTGAGCAAAGGTGCGGGGTTTGGGGAGGCTGTGAGCAAAGGTGCGGGGTTTGGGGAGGCTGTGAGCAAAGGTGCGGGGTTTGGGGAGGCTGTGAGCTAAGGTGCGGGGTTTGGGGAGGCTGTGAGCAAAGGTGCGGGGTTTGGGGAGGCTGTGAGCAAAGGTGCGGGGTTTGGGGAGGAACGGGAAAGGGGAAGGGGCAGTCCCTGTGTTGCCTCGTGCACCTGCTGAGTTATGCGCTCTCACCCTGCCCTTCACGCTCACAGCTCCGCCTCCACTCCTCTCTCCCTTCCATCCCTTCATCTCTTCCCATCCCCATCCCTCTCCTCCTCCCCCGTCCCTTCCTCCTCCCCATTCCCATCCCTCACAGGGCATCATGAGCGCGCAGCTGTGCTCGCTGCTCTTCATAGTGGTGGGGCTTAGCATGGCCATCACGCCATGGCTCGCAGCGGTGGGACAGCTCATCGCCTCGCGCTTTGACCAGCAGGACGTGCGCTCGCTGCAGCCACACGAGGCCGAGGTGAGTTGCCCTCTTGCGGAGTCTGCTTCCTCTTGCAGAGTTTACAACTTTCTCTCACAATGACTTAACCCAATTCAACCTTATGTCCTCTTGGTTTTTGTTTGCCTGCTCAACCCATTCTCAATCAACCAATCACCCCTCCGCTCTCCCCCTCTCTCCCTTTTCCTCTCTCCCTGCCAACGCACAACAGACGGACGATCTGCAGGGCCACATTATCATCTGTGGCTTCGGCCGTGTGGGTCAGGTGAGCTTTTCGTTGTGCTCTGTGAGCTCTCTGCTTCTGCCACATGAGCTCTCTGCTTCTGCCACATGAGCTCTCTGCTTCTGCCACATGAGCTCTCTGCTTCTGCCACATGAGCTCTCTGCTTCTGCCACATGAGCTCTCTGCTTCTGCCACATGAGCTCTCCTATGCCATCGTTGCTATTGTCTCGCAATGGCTTCTCATGGCACTCCCTTCCTGACACCCATCCCTCACACCCATCCCTCACACCCATCCCTGCCCTCCTGTGTCCATCAGATCATAGGCCAGCTGCTGTCGGAGCGCCTGATCCCCTTTGTGGCGCTGGACGTGAGCAGTGACCGTGTGAGCGCGGGGCGCTCCCTCGACCTGCCCGTCTACTTCGGCGATGCTGGCAGCCGCGATGTGAGCCTCTCCCTCCCCTCCGCTCTCCTCCACCCCATCTCCCGTTGTGCATTCCTCCCCTCCTCCCCCCCCACACGTGCATTTCCGCCATCCCGTGCAATTCCTGAATTTCCGTTTCCTTCTCCATGCGTCACTCTCTCCAATCAACTCCCGTCCCTTCCGTCCCTTTCTCCCCTTCACCCGGTCCTCACTCGCTCTTGCCCTACCATCCAACCTTCCTTTCCCCTTTTCTCCAACCCGCCCCTCCCCCCCACAGGTGTTGGGGGCGGAGCGGGCAGCAGCGGCAGTGATCACACTGGACACACCAGGAGCCAACTACCGTGCCGTGTGGGCGCTCAGCAAGAGCTTCCCCTCCCTTCGTCCCCACCTCTCCCCCCTCCTCCATCCCACTCCGACCCCCTCCTCCCCCATCTCCCTCAGGTGTTGCACAAGGTGGGGGCAGAGAGGGCAGCAGCAGCAGTGATCACACTGGACACGCCAGGAGCCAACTACCGCGCCGTGTGGGCGCTCAGCAAGAGCTTTCCACACGTGAAGACGTTTGTGCGAGCTCACGACGTGACCCATGGGATCAATCTTGAGAAAGCTGGCGCCACGGCTGTGGTTCCTGAGACGCTGGAGCCCAGCCTGCAACTCGCTGCTGCTGTGCTCGCACAGGTCAGCTTGAGTAAATTTTTGCCGTGCATCAGTGAACGAGTGTGCGGTTTCTGAAAGCTGTGCTTGTCGCTCCCATGCTCGCCCAGGCAGAGTGAGTAAATGAGAGGAGCCGTTGTAATACGTGGATGACGGTGGTCCTTCTCCTTCATTCTTTCCCCTCTTCTTATTCCATCCTGTACCCTTCTTGTACCCCTCCTGTCTCGCCCTCCCGCCTTCCCCATGTGTGTCCCCCAGGCGAAGCTGCCAGCAGCGGAGATAGCCGCCACGCTGGACGACTTCAGAACGCGACACCTGGCAGAGCTGACGGAGGTGAGCCACCTGTCAGGAATTTATGTGAAGTGCTATCCTGTATCTCTTGGTTCTATTGGGTCGTCCCTGTAGATCCAGCATGCTTTGTTCTTTTCCGCTTGTTCCTCCTCTCATTTACTCACTCTGCCTCTCGTCCACTCCTCATCCTCTCCGCACCTCATCCTTGCCCTCCTCGACACAGCTGTCGGCACTGAGTGGGTCATCGCTGGGCTATGGCTACTCCAGCAACCTCATGCATGTATTTTCTTCCTTGCTCCTCTCATTTCTGTACTCTGCCTCTCATCCTCGCCCCATCCCCTGCCCTCCTCGACACAGCTATCCGCACTGAGTGGGTCATCGCTGGGCTATGGCTACTCCAGCAACCTCATGCGAGCCAGGGTCGCCGAGGCAGCAGGTGTGGCCGAAGCAGCAGGGAGCGGCAGCGGGTCTCCCACAGCCACGACCACAACCACCAGTAGCAGCAGTAGTGTGACAGAGGGGGAGGGAGGCATGGAAGGGCAGGTTGTGGTGCCGGCTTGAGATGAGCTCAGAGCCATGATATACAGTTATGTATTTAACTCAACTTCACTAAATCAAATGTAAAATCCTTTGTGTACATTGATTTTCTACGAGGAATTACATTCACGGTTTTCCCGCGAGTTATATGCTTGTGCGATGGTCCTGGTTCTGGTCACCGTGCCACTGAGGCTGTTCTTAGCGCGTATCACAACGATGATGAGTGGGGAGTGGTGTACATTCAACCACAATCGTCACCACCACCAGCAACGGCAGCGACTGTCATTTCGGATTCCGCGCCACCAATGGCGCGCCGCGATGATCTCGAGGCGACTAGGCGTCAATGCGTCCGACGTTTCCGATAGCTAACGCGTATAGATAATGCCGATAGCTGCTGTCGATCGGCTTCGCCGGACTGCCGCCTAGGGCCTCAGGGCCGCAACCTTGCGCCAGCACATTCCTCCGCCCTCGTCGCGCTTCCGCCATCCGGTGCCCGTGCGCATCGCGCCACAGTCGCAGCTCCCTGCGGTCCGCAGCAGAGTTCGGACGCAGCGCGCAGCATCGTCTGCATTGTCTGCACGCCCGCGACGGCTGATACGTGGTAACCGTGTTCGCACTCCCCGCCAGCATGGCGGGTCTGAACCTCCTCGGGCTCTCCCGCGCCTCCGGCAGACGACCCTCCGTGAGTCGCGCTCGCTTCGATCCCCACTGGCCCTCACTTTCTCCCGCCCTCCCTTCCGCCCTTCCTCCCGCCCTCCCTTCCGCCGTTCCTCCCGCCCTCCCGCCTGCTCTCCTCCATCCGTGCCGCTCTCCCTCCCCTCCCCTCCGCTCCGATCCGCGCGACCCTCCTCCGCGGTACGCGCTCGTTGCCCTCTTCGCGCCATTCTTCGTTCCGCGCCCCTCCGCGCAAGCCGCATCTCCCCATTCCGCCAGTACCGCTCAACGCTCTCTTCCACACTCCTCCCCATTCCCCCCCCATGCTGTCTCCCCTCCCCTCCCCCCTTCGGCGGCCCCCCGCCCATCAGGCGCGGAGGCGCAAGGCGGGCGCGCGGGAAGGCGGGGTGGTGCTGCCAGTGCAGGCGCTGCTGCTGCTGTGCGCCGCGTGCTTGGCGCTCGTGCTGCTTGCCGTGCTGGCTGTGGTGCTGTGGGTATGTGCGTGGTGCTGTAGGGATGTGTGTGAGCATTACTGCAGCAATTCTTCAAAAGCGTCGACTCCCCTCACAGCCCCCCCACATAGCGTCGACTCCCCTCACAGTTCTCCCTCCTCTCTCCTCACACCTATGAAGGATTTGACGCGCTCAGCGTTTTGACTCTGAGACAAAACGCTAGCGTTTTGACGCTATTGAAGCCCCCTGTCCGAGGGGTACCCCCAGTTTGACGCTCTGGCGGGCAGGCAAAAAACAATCCCAGGCAGGGGTAACAAAAACTGGGAACAGGGGAGTTAGTAAGAGAGGTTGGGGGGGAGGGTGGTGGGGCAGGAGTTGTAGAACATGTGGGGCAGTCATGAATGGGGTTTCCAAAGGAGAATTGTGGTAAAGTACTAGGGGATGGGTTGGGTTGAGTAGTTTCAAAGGGATGGAGGAAGGTTTGGGTGTTGGATTGGTTGGGGCCTGTTTTGGGGCCTCAAAATGCCGAGTTCAATTTGGCGGGTCGCGTTTTGAGCGCAGAATTTTACGCGTCTAGGGTCAAAACGTGGCGTTTTGACCCTTGACGTTTTCAGTTTTTGGAGTCAAATCCATCATAGCCTCACACTCCTCACTCCTCTCTCATCTCTCCTCGCTCATCTCTCCACTCTCATCTCTCATCGCTCCCCTGTCCTCTCCCCTCTCCCCTCTCCCCTCTCTCCCCGTCCAGGTGGCCTCGCTGTCATGGCGACATCAGCAACTGGCCAGCGCTCTAGCCAACTCCAATGCTGCTGCTGCTGCTGCTGCTGCTGGGGGGAGTGGGGCGAGTGGTGGGAGGAATGGGGCAGCAGCAGCAGCGGCAGCAGCAGGTGACGGTGCTGCAAAGGAGGCGGAGAAAGAGATGAACCCTGCAAATCCCATGCATCTCCATGGTATGGCCCATGCTCTCTCCATGGTATGACGCATGCACCTCCATGGTATGACGCATGCACCTCCATGGTATGACGCATGCACCTCCATGGTATGACGCATGCACCTCCATGGTATGACGCATGCACCTCCATGGTATGACGCGTGCATCTCCATGGTATGACGCATGCACCTCCATGGTATGACGCATGCACCTCCATGGTATGACGCATGCACCTCCATGGTATGACGCATGCACCTCCATGGTATGACGCATGCACCTCCATGGTATGGCCCATGCACCTCCATGGTATGGCCCATGCTCTCTCCATGCTACCACCACAATCCATGCATTTCCATACCCACTTCCTGTGTGCACTCCGTTCATTGTGATCACGCATGTAAATCTGATTTTAGTGCCATTCATAGCTGTGTGCTCTTTTTCTCTTTTCCTGCCCTCTTCTCTTGCAGCTGCCCCTCCCGCGTCCCCTCCTCCTCCTCCCAAGGTTAGTCATACCATCATGCCATGCCACCATGCCATACCATGTCGTGTCATGCGTTGACGCTCCTCACGCAGCTTTAAGTAGCAACTCGGGGCATGGATAGAACGGCTGGTGTGTCAAATGAGGTTTGACATGTTTTCTGCAGTTTTGTCGCTTTCCTGGACGATGCCCAGTGCATAAAGCTCAGTGCTGAATGCCGATCTCCCAATGTCCAAAACATGTCAAATCTCATCTCTCCACCCCAACCATCCCTCCTCCCGCTCCCCCCCTCTCAGACCGTGCGCAAGCGGCGCAGGGCGAAGCCAACGGACTTGATAAACCAGAGGCGGTGGCAGCAGTTCTACCGCAACATCGTGCTCATTGTGAACTACAAGCGCCCCCAGCAGATGCCCGTCACGCTCGACCTCCTGCACTCGCTCTACGGCTCCCTCTTCCAGCGCATCCTCGCTGTCTCTGAGTTTGGCGACGCCGACTTGGGGGTTCTCGAGGTGTGTGCACCATGTGGTGGGGGGGTGGGGAGGGGTGGGGCGCAAGGGATTGCAGTCGCGCTACGGCTCCCTCCTCTTCTAGTGCATCCTCACTATCTCTGAGTTTGGCGACGCTGATCTGGGCGTGTGGTGCGGTGGAAGGGTGGGAGGAGGTTAAGGAGAGAGAAAGAGCTTGGTGGGAAAGGGAAACAGAGCTGGAAGTTGCAGGGGCGCGGGGCAGGGCGCGGGGCAGGGCCATGACTGGCCGTTCCTCCCTCCTCATCACTCTGAATCTGACAATGCTCTGCGGCTCCTTCTCTTACCCTCCTGCCTGCTCTTTCAGTCGCCTGTCAAGGAGACAGGGCACGCCCACGACTTGCCGCCCGGGTCACTGCACTACAGTGTGCTGCCGAAGCTGCTGACGTGGCACCCCATGGCGGAGGGCTTTTTGTGGATGGATGATGACACGGTGCTCAACTACTGGACCATGAGCCGCGATAACAAGGTATGGTAACCAGGTAACAACAGGGTGACACGGTGCTCAACTACTGGACCATGAGCCGTGATAACAAGGTATGGTAACCAGGTAACAACAGGGTGACACGGTGCTCAACCACTGGACCATGAGCCGCGATATCAAGGTGCGGTAAGGTGGTAAGAATGTGCAGTTAACAGTTTAGTGTTTGTAAAGAGGTTTTGTGTGGTGACGGGATAAAAATGCCATTTCTGCGCCGATGCACATCCAACCCGGTTCCCTTGTGTCCCTCCCTTGTGTCCCTCCCTCCCACTCATCCCCCTCTCTGGCATCTGGTCCATGACCATCCCCTTCACCCCCATCACCCCCATATCTCCCCCCTTCAGTCGTGCATCTGGTTCCTGGGGCCCATGCACCAGTCGTGGCGCATCGCCAGCCTCGACCCCAGCGGAAGCGTGGCAGGGGGATGGGGAGGGGAGGGGAAGGAGGCGGGAGCGGTGAGGTACATGGAGGATGCGAGTGAGCGCGTGGAGGAGAGTGGGGAGGCGCTGCAGCTTCTAAAGCAGGCCGTTTCCCAGGTGAGACTTCGTGTGCCCTGCCGTGCCATACCATGGCATGCAATGCCGTACCATGTGGTGCCCTCGCGATGCTTTTTGTGCCTCAAACTGGGTCACATCACATGGTACAGTCTTCCGTCAATCCATGCTCTCTTGCACCGCTGACTCGCCATATTCTGCCCCTCATTTCTCGTCCGTCGCCCAGCGTGTTTTTTGAGAACACGCTCATTCTCAAAAAACACGCTCTGCAACACATTTCCGTCGCCCATGCTCCTCATTCCCCCCAATGCCCTTCCCCCACAGGCGCTCTCCCACCTCCCCCAACAGTACCTGCAGCAGTACCAGCAGTCCATCTCCCCCAAGACAAATATCTTTCTGCGGGCAGCGTCGGACGTCTTTTATATCCCGCAGCGCCATGCGCCTGCGATGCGCTCGCTCGTCCCCATCTTTGCCGACCATCGCATTGTGGCTGATGTAAGCTGCACCCTTCCTTCTCACTCCGTTTTGCTCTGTTCCAACATCTACCCATGTTTTTTTGGCACCTTCTTGGCCCCTTAGAATTGCCTTCCACTACTTGTCGTTTTGGTTCCAGACCTCTCTCCTGGGTTTATTATTCATGTGGTTTTATCTTTTGCAGGTGGCAATACCAATGATGCTGCATGCCTTGGAGCATCCACGAGAGTGGGACGGTCACGCATTGACCGATGTTATTTATCTCACAGGAACAGACGTCAATACGCCTGCTAAATTCTACTCGCCCCGTGTCACAGCCATGCATCCATGGGGTCTGTCGGCACACCACCATGGCTCCCACATCATCAAGGCAATGTCACAGGGCGACCCAATGCTAGAATCCACCATTGATGGAGAAAGGGTAGGAAATCTGTAACGATTTTATCTCATTCACTGTACGTGTGCTTTATTCACATTACCGCATTTACCACTCGTCCAAAACGCTAGCTTGATTGCCAGCAGTTCGAGCCGCATGTCTCGCGAACCACATGTACCACTCGCGAGTCGCAAATTACGAGCCGCATTTTCCAATTTCGGCCCCTCTTGCTCCCTCTGTCGCCCAACACTCGCCATCATTCGTCTCGTCCCAGCTTTTGTTCTCAAATCCTGTGCCGCATTGTTCTGCGTGTGCTTCGTGTGCTGCGTGTGTTGCTCCTGCTCCGTCCAAACTCCTCACAACCTTCGCTGCACCCACCCTTGCCTCAGATATTCACGGTTCTCCAGAAAACAACTCTACCTATGAACCACACACCCATCTCGCGCGATTTGGTTGCTTCCCAGGGCTCATGGTGTAAGCGACAAACCTAACCTCATCCACTATCTAGTCGAGTCAAACATCTCGTTGTCCCCCGGAGGTCTGTACCACATATACCAACATGTAAGACTATTTCCAAAATATACCACTTGGTCTTCGTACTATTGCTGACCTACTACGTGCGAACTTCGAGAGCCTTTCGTAGGAACGATATCCACCACTGGTAGCGTTTGGCAGTGGGCTTTACACGAGGATAGTTCGGGTAGCGCTGGGCCACGACAGCGGCGCACGTTGCGTTCCACTCAGATCCGTCTGCTGGTCACAGGACCGTGCTCCGTGACAGATACCCCGCAGATTTTGGGAGCTCGGACCACCCACATTGTTAACATCGCGGAAAGGGTCGACGACCAAAAACGGGGCTGCCTAGTACCATCATCTAAAAGTTCAAAACACCTCCAAATAAAACTCCTTGCCCGATGAGGACGAACAAGGCGCTCGGCGCGTTTGTGAACGGCGCGCTGGCGGTCATCGGGTTGGGGCTCGTAGGCGTGGCGCTGTGGATGCTGCTCGACGCCACGTACGGCGCGTGCTTGCTGCCCTACCAGCTCCCCGTCATCGTCGTCGGCGGCGCGCTGCTGCTCGCGGCGCTCGTCGGCTTCTGCGGGCTCGCGTGCGACTCGAACTCGCTCTCGTGCCTCTACCTCGTCGTCGCGCTCGTCGCCGTGCTTGCATCCACGGCTTTCACCAGTGAGTCCTCGTTTCGCTCTTGTCCAATCTCTTGTCAAACGAGTGCTATATCATGCTTATCCCAATCCGTCGCCGTAATTTCGTTTTCTTCCCTTCCCTCGCCAATTGCCTCGCTTCATCATCCCCGCAGTCTTCGCTTTTCTTGTAACGGGCGGCGCGCCGGCGCCTATAACGAGTCGCAACCAGACGGTGTACATCACGTGGGGCTTCTCGCCGTGGATGCAGGCGCAGGTGGCCAATGCCACGTGGCCCGCAATGCAGACATGCCTCGCGCGCCGCCGCACGTGCGCGGACCTCCGCGCATACGCCCCCGCTGCGCTCAACGGGACGCTTCTCCCGCCCATCGAGGTAACACTCACTTCCACAACATCTTTCCAGTCAGCGAGTGTAAGGCAGCGGCATCCTTTCCTGAGGGGACGTGGTGATGTGGAAATTTAATCGCACATATCGCCCATTTTTCATCGCCGCATGCTTATTGTGCCCTCTGGTTGGTTCCCATGGCAGGCCGGCTGCTGCCTTCCCCCGCAAGGCTGTCAAAACCGAACCTACAGGCCCACGTACTACTCCTTCGCAAGCGCCGCTTCCACCGCTCCGCAATCTCCCGCACCTGCCCAAACCCCCGGCGCACCAGGAAGCTCCAACCCCCCACAAACCAGCAGCAGCAGGAGCCAGCAGAACTGCAGCGCATTCAGCATGGAGCCGCAGACGCTGTGCTACTCGTGCGAGTACTGCAAGGGCGGCTTCCTGCACCAGCTGTACCAGCAATACTCCCTGCTCAAGTTCGTCTCACTAGGCGCGTCCGTGGCGGCCCTCGTGCTCTACCTCATGGCCTGCTGCGCCGCATTCACAGGCCTCGACGATGACCTCGACGCCAAAGAAGCTGATGCTGCCGCCGCTGCCGCCGCCGCTGCTGCTGCTGCTGCTGCTATGACTGGTAAGCTGCAGAAGAGCGGAACCATGAGCCGCGTGAACACCTTCACCGTGGCCCCGGGGCAGTTTGAACGGGTTCTGTCGACCAGGGTAGGTGACCAAGGGGTTGGGATGGGGTTGAATGGAGGCGTGGGAGCAGCAGCAGCAGTGACGCAGTATGAGCGGTCGCTAACGCATGTGGATAAGTCTCCAGGGGCGCTGGATCGATCTCTCACGGAACTCGAGAAAAGAGGGGGGAGACGGGCGAGTTACGGAGGAGAAACTAGAATGCGGGAGGACATGCGTAGCCGAGGTAGCCCCTATGATGAGTCTCCAAGTTCCCGCAGCTATGCGGATGATCCCCCGACTTCCAGAAGCTCCCGAAGCTCGCGAAGTTCCCGAAGCTCCCAGAGTTTTCAAAGCTCAAAGAGTTCCCGAAGCTCGAAGAGCTACCGAACCCCCAAAAGCGCGGAGAGAGGCAAGGAGGTGTTTGTGGTTGATATAGAGGAGCGAGAAGGGGGGTATGGAATGCCTAAGAGTCATAGTCTCCATGATGATACAATGTGGGAGGAGGATGAAGACATGTACTACAGTCGGATGGAGGAGAGGCGCTTCGAGGAGGACATGGAGAGTGAGCGGGCGAGAGAGAGGGATTTGGAGAGGGAGAGGAATATGGAGAGGGAGAGGGATATGGAGAGGGAGAGGGAGAGGGAACGGGACAGGGAAGCAGGCATGATGCATGGAAGGAGCTACAGCAGTAAGAGCGGGTCAGGTTATAAACAATCAACGCGGTTGAGCCAAGAAAGGTGCGGCTCACCACCCCAAGGCAAATCGGAGATTGGACACTCCAAGAGAAGCACTCGGTCGACGGGGGGAAAGAGCTCGGAGCATTCTCATACAGGGCGTGAGGGGGGCCAGTCTGAGAGATATCCTTCGAGAAGAGACGAGCAACCACATGAACCACCCAAGGTTTATGACTTGGAGGGTATGTATGATGATGAGAGTGGGTATGAAGATGGTAATCTATATGGTCATGCGCATCCGCAGCGGTCCTTGGATGCTGAATCGGATATATATGAAGGTGATGACTACGAGTCATACGACGATAGAATATAGCCTGTAACATATTCGTTTTTTATAAAAAGAAATGTGACTGTCTACACTTGCTAAAGTTAAATTGACTGCTTGCTGTTGAGCAACAGCCACGCAACAGGCAGCTCTTTTCTTGGCATTCCCTATTTTACAGTCGCTCGCACTGTACAGCCACAGGCCCGGAAGTGGCTGCAGGCCCTACAGTACTGTGCGGTTGAACAGTACACGGCGCGAAATTGAGATTTCTGGCAGGGAAGTAGGTTTGGTTGGAGGTTCGGGGAAACAAAGAGGTGGAAGGTGGTTCGAACGTATTTTCGGTAAGTTAACCTTCGGTAGCGCGAGGTTGCGTCGTCACTCTCACCACCACCTTTCTTGCATGCCTTCCCCACGTTCACCCTTTCCTGCCATAACCGTTCCTCCCTAGTTGCGGCATCGACAGTCTCCTTGCTTGCCTTTCAACGATCCTCGCGCATTCTGCGCTCTTCCCGTTCTCGTCGCTCATAATTTTCGCGAAGCGAGCGCTCGGCAGACCCGCACTATGTTTATAAACATGGAGGTATGATGACTGGACAATGAGTAGCTTAAACACGTGATTCCAATCTGTGTGGAGAGGCATTCGTCCTCAAGTCAGTCGCCTGCGTTGGGTTATCTCTCAGGCTATTAGAAATTAAGTTGTGGAATCTGTGAGGTTAAGCAATTCTCTTGCCTTGGGCTCTACGCGATTCGCAGCCCTGAAACGCACCCGCGACTCGCGCCTGCAGTAGCGCCGCGCCAAGCGAGGACGGCGGGCGAGTTGGGCGACGGCGCGGAGAGGCGGGATAGGGCGCGGAGTGGCGCGAAGAGGCGCGGCGCAAGCTCTTTAGCTCAGAAGGCACGCGCCGGAAGGGCGCGATGGGGAGGCGGAAGAAGGAGGCCGCGACGCTGAGCGCCGCGTTCCACGCTTGCGAGTTCGCCATCGCTCTCGGCGTCATTGCCGCCGCGCTGTGGGCCATGATGAGGTGCGGTGTGGGCCATGATGAGGTGCGGTGCGGTGATGATGAGGTGCGGTGCGGCGGTGATGATGAGGTGCGGTGTGGGCATGATGAGGTGCGGTCTGGGTGCGATGAGGTGCGGTGGTGATGGGTGCGATGAGGGGATGAGGTGAGGGGTTGATAAGGGGCAGTGAGGCCACTCTCTTCTCACTATTTTCCACATCCCCCCAAATCTTCCCCCCATTTCCCCCTCCATAGCACACCGGCGAGCCTATGTCTGCTGGTGTATCAGACGCCCATGATGGTGGGGGGCGGCCTGCTGCTGCTAGCGGCACTGGTGGGGCTGCAGGGCGTGGCGTGCGGCCATGGCGGGTTCAAGTGTCTGCACGTCTTCCTCGCTATCCTCGCCCTTCTCGCCCTCCTCGCCTTCTCCAGTAACGTCGCCTCTGCCTTCGCCCACCTCGCCTTCTCCAGTAACGTCGCCTCTGCCTTCGCCCACCTCGCCTCCCTTTCCCCCCTCTCCGCCCCCTCCGCTCCTCCCCTGACATCTGACTCCCTCATAGCCACTTTGCCCCAACCCAATCCCCTCCCCTCTTTCGCCTCAGTGCCTTTTGTAAGCCCGTGCGTGCACCTGTGCGAGCTACGTGCGGCCAAGTCTATTACACCACTTGTTCATCCCCCTCCCGCTACCCACCCGCTGCTTCGCCTACCCCTCGCCCTCACGTTCTCCCCCGCCTCCACCTCATCCCTCTCTCTTCCTTCCCCCCATCCTCCCGCCCCCTCTCACCCCCTCCCGGCGCCCGCCCGTCTCGCCGCAGTCTTTGCGTTTGTGGTGACGGCAGGAGGGGCAGCAAGCAGCAGCCGCGGTCAGACAGTGTACGAGCCAGCCGGCTTCTCCGCTTGGATGCAGCAGCAGCTGGGCTCCTGGTCCTCGTTACAAGCATGCCTCACTAACACCGTGCACGTCTGCTCCGACCTCCGCCTGTACACCCGTGACAAGCTGCAAGGGAAGCAGATCTCGCCTCTAGAGGTAAGGCACCTTCATTGTCATGCGCTTTCAAGGGAAGAGGATTGAATTGAGCCACGAAGTGAACTCCCCATCCACAACACACCACACTCTCCATGTGCCCTTTCAGGGAACCAAACACCTGCCTCTCCTCCGCCCTTCTCCCCACCACCTCTCTCTCCTCCCCTCTCCCACCCCATGCTACCAGGCTGGTTGCTGCCTACCTCCCGAGGGCTGCCCAGTCAACCTCCCTCAGAACACAATCTACTCCTTCGCCTTCGCCGTCCCCACCACACCCACCGTTACCACACCCGCCAACCCAACCTCCTCCTCCGCCTGTAGCGCCTTCAGCATCGACCCCACAGTTCTCTGCTACAGCTGCTCGCTCTGCCAGGGCGGCCTGCTAGCCCTCCTCCAGAGCAACTTCAAGGTGCAGGCATACGTGGGCACGGCAGCGGCGGGACTACTGCTGCTGCTGGGGCTTGCCATGTGCTGCGCCTCGTGCAACGGTGCGGAGCCTGAGGGACTGAGTGAGTCCGATGGCATCGCGCTGGCCCGAGCACCCACATTTGTGATGGTGGAGCCGTCACTCGAAAGGACACTGTCCCGGGTGAACACTGGGGTAGGGGGAGCAGGGGGAGCGAACTTCAAACGGACCAACACTATGGCCAGTGCTGCTGGGGGTGGGGGAGGGGGAGGGGCGCGGTTTGACCGTACGTTGAGCCGTGGTGGGGGGGAGAAGGGGCCGCAGAATGGGCCGGGGAGTGCGAGCTTCCAGCGCAGTCTGACTTTCCAGAGCATGGCGAGCGCTGAGTACAAGCGACAGATGAGCATGGCTGGTGGGAATGGAAATGGGAATGGGAATGTGGGGTATGCAGAGGGAGGAAGGGAGGAAGAATGGGAGGTTCGGGATGTGGAGGACAGGTATGAGGATGAGGGGGGGGATAGGCGGACGTACCAGCGGCAGCGGAGCAAGGTGGGTGGTGGGGAGAGAGGTTATGATGAGGTGGAGGGAGAGGAGGAGTATGATGAGCAGAGGGAGTCGAGACAGAGGAGTCGGGCGCGGCAGAGCAATAGGTCGGTGGGAGGGGAGGAGGACGATGACAGGTTGGTTCGTAACACGACGTGGGGGTCGAGTCAGAACCCGAAACGCACCCCTCCGGATGGGGGTGAGGCGCGGACGCCTCGTGGGGGGAGACGAGGGGGAAGGGCGGCGCGAGGGGGTTCTATGAGCCAAGGGCGGTCGGGACATCAGAGAAGCACGACGTGGGGGGATGATGAAGACCCGGAGCAAGGGCGGGGGCAAGTGAGGAGGGTGGAGGTAGGCGTGAGTACCCCAAAGAGGAAACAGAAGCCGAGGAATCAAGAAGTATACGAGGATGATGGCCAATATAATGAAGATTACGACGATATGTACTATTAACTATTCCTAGCGTGATTTTTGGAAAGAAGCTAGACTGTAAAGAGTTTACTAAAGTACGGTCTGTCTGCATGCCCACACATGTGTCTAAATGTAAGGAAATTCCCTTTTCCTTACTTCGCGTCCCTGCTCAACGCGTACATCACTGTAGCACCTCAGTCAGCACCGTTACCACTCGCGACCATCGCATCATTCATCATCCCGCCCTTTTCGCACATCGCATCCCGACCTCACGGCTCGGCTGGTAACCCGCGCTTCGGACCTACGCTTCGACACTTTCCCAACCTCAGTCCCAGGCTCGTCGCGCGACCATTACCGTTACCACTGTAGTTTCGCTATATAATGTTCGCTCATGCCTTCGCTCATTTGTATTCTTGCTTCAATAGTGCAATTCTCGTTCGTTCACTCAATTGCACTCGTAACACTTGGTATTCAGAGCCTACGATCTCATCTCGGACCGCATCCACACCTTCGCTTCCCACTATCTCAATTTTTTGGGGGAGTAGACGTCTCTCAGCGACACAGCACCGCCGCTCGTAGTGCTCTCTCGAAAGCACGCACGGCCACGACCGAGGCTCTCGCTGAGCTTGCCCGACACCCCCGCCATGGCCGATTTCAATCTCGCCACGTTGACGCAGGAGCAACTCGATCGTCTCGTGCGTCAATTGGAGGATTCGGCGCTCGAAATCGCGACTCTCACGGCGGAACATGACTCCGCCCGTCAACAGTCAACGGTGAACGTACCGACGACATCACACGCACCAACCAATGCATCTGCACATTCGGAGGAGCCCATCGTCATCTCATCCGGCACACCAACGCAACACAACAGCACGGGACAGCGCTCAGGCGCAGCCAGTGACGGCGCAGCCCAACCGATGCCCGGCATGGGAGGGAACAGGAGCGCATTAAGCCCACGGGAGCCCCGAGAAGCCCGTCGGCACGTGGAGTTTGCGGCGACAAGTGGCGAGAACGCCATGATGGCCCCAATGCCACTCAAGCCGCAACGCCCGCCCTGCTTCGACCCAAGCCAACGCGGCGGCCCGACAGTTCAATCGTGGGTCTTCACGATGAATGTGTTTTACGACGCCAACTACGTCGAGTCGGACGCCGCCAAGATCCGGTATGCGGTTTCACTACTCAGGGGCCCCGCCATGGACTGGTGGCGAGTCATTGTGACGTCGCCGCGCGCCTACGAGCCACCGTCGCACGAGGAAGGGCCCTCGGGTCCAGCTGTTACCTGGAGTTCGTTCTGCGAAACCGCCCAATACAGCACGTGGGATGCGTGGTGCGCAGGGCTTCGGGCGCGCTTTGAGCCGATCGCGGCCTCGATTTCGGCGCGTCAGAAACTGCGCACTTGGCGCCAGCTCGGGTCAGTTCAAGACTACACCAGCGGGTTTCTCGCACTTTGCGAACAGGTCGGCTACATGCACGAGGCGGAGCGGGTGGACCGTTACGTCGGAGGGCTGAAGCCGGACATCTCGCACGAGATAATGCAACGCGGGCTCTCGAATTTCAACGAGATCCTCGCGCTCGCCGAGAAAATCGATATCCTACGCCGACCGAGACCGGGGTCCTATTACGGACATCGTCCTCGGGGACCGACCGAGCACGCCACTGTACATGCCGTCGCAGCGAATGCAGCTGCCGCGCCGTTTAGAGGGCGCTGCTTTGCTTGCAACCGGCCGGGCCATCGCAAGAGCGAATGTCCAGAGGAGCTGAGGCGTCGAGGAGCAGAGCAGGGGAAGGAGTCTCGGAGGCAGGGAAACGCCAGCAGTCAGTAGAAGTTGGGCCAACTACTGACGAGACTGCTGTCGAAATATTTTGTCATGTTTTATAACTGCTTGTAGTTGTAGTTAGTGTAGTTATGTAAACTGTTGGTGGTGGTGCACCTTATTTGGTTTCTATGCTATATGTACCCTTGAACCTATAGTGAAACCATCTTCATTCTCCAATTTCCCTTCTCAACTCACTCGACACCTTGCCTAGGTGAAAACCCGCTCGATACCTAAGTTCGGGCCTAGGCTACTAAGCCTAGGCCCCACCTCTTAACTCACTTATTCTCTCGACATGGTATCAGAGCATTTTTACGACTTGGCCTGTGTGCCCGCCTTACGCTTCCGCGATGAGTTTTCGGTCGTGCGCCTAGGGCGCGTGACGATTTTTTTATTAGTCCCGCCCACGGGTGTGTGGCTCCTTCTCTGCCCGTCGCGCGCCCCGTGGGACGCGACGGTGCCCTTCATCTGCCCATCGTGCGCCCCGTGGCACACGATGGTGCCCTGCTCGTCGTGCGCCCCTAGGCGCACGATCGGGCCTGTTTTCTTCTTCTACCCGTCGTTCGCCCCGTGGCACTGGCCCGCGACGGGCCTTTCCGCCCCTGCACTCCCTGGAGCCGCCCCTGACCCATCTGCACCGACGCCTTTTCGCCGCTCTGCGGCTTTCTTCCTTCCCACCCCCTCCTCCTTTGTCTCCCTGCATCCGTGGGGAGGAGGGTATGGGGGTGGAGGGTGTTGGAGTGTGGCGTCACCTCTCTCCCTTCCCCTCCTCCTTCTTTCAGTCCCACCGCTGCAGCTGCCGCTGGGGGGGGAGGGTGTGAGGATGTGGGGGAGCAGGGGGAGTGGTAACGGGGTGGCGGGTGTGAGGCAACATGCAGCCGTCCCTCCACCTCTCCTCTCTTCCCCCCTTCTCTGCTGCTCCTGCAGCAGTGTGGGGGAGGGGAAGGAGGAGGGTGAGGAGACGGAAGGGGTACCTGCTGTTGCTTGCTATGCTGGAACTACACATCTACCTACAAGCATTATGGGGGCGTGTCGAAATATTTTGTCATGTTTTATAACTCCTTGTAGTTGTAGTTAATGTAGTTATGTAAACTGTTGGTGGTGGTGCACCTTATTTGGTTTCTATGCTATATGTACCCTTGAACCTATAGTGAAACCATCTTCATTCTCCAATTTCCCTTCTCAACTCACTCGACACCTTGCCTAGGTGAAAACCCGCTCGATACCTAAGTTCGGGCCTAGGCTACTAAGCCTAGGCCCCACCTCTTAACTCACTTATTCTCTCGACAACTGCCTGCTCGCCCAACCACACCGACCCTCACCGAGTCACAGTACCGATTCACGCCATCGATCGGGCTCGGATGAATAAGGATGGTACAGCGACGGATTGCCCGGTACTGATCTACGGGAAAATACAGGGAGCAGCAGTGAAGATCTTCATTGACGGAGGAGCAAGCCACAGCTTAGTTAATACCGCAACCGCACGAAAATTACAATTAACGCTTAACCGATGTTTACCTGAGGTAGATGCACGCTTAGTCGACGGCACGCCCCTGCCCATACGGGAAAAGGTGGAGCGCGTAAAAGTCCGCTGCGGGGGGAACTTCGGGTTTACACAGGAAATGCTCGCGACGACACTGGATGGGCACGACATTTTATTAGGACGTGATTGGCTGCGACGGTACAACCCACGGATCGACTGGACGACGGGGAGCTGCACAGTGCGAAGTAGTGGTAACTGGGTCGTTCTACCTCGCTGGCAGCCACCCAAATCTTCGACGGTCCAGGTTAACGCCATCACGATGAAACGGGCTGTCGCTGCTGGAGCTGACGTGTACGTAGTGGATATCGCACTCGTAGAAAAAGATGAGCAGCCGAGTGATTTGGAGAAACTGCTGGCAACTGTACCGACCGAACTACAAGCACTACTGAAACAGTTCCCGGGGATATTTCCGGATGATTTACCACAAGGATTGCCACCTCAGCGGGCGCACGACCATAGGATCGAGTTAGAACCGGGGGCACAGCCAACTGTACAGCGTGTCAGAATATTATTCTTATGTTCTAGCCTGTAGTGGGGTGCTCTATAGCGAGTACAACCCTTCTAGGGTTTGCTATTTGTATCCCCATTCTTGCTAGTTCAATCCTCTTTCTTCCTTCAAACTTTAACATGGTATCAGAGCAGGTCGATCCCCTTGGATCGATCCTGTGGGTGGGTTACCACCTCGCTTCCGCTGCTACTTTTTCCTCCCGCCGTGCACCCCGAGGCGCGCGGCGGTTTTCTGCCCGCCGTGCGCCCCGAGGCGCGCGGCGGTTCATTGCCCGCTGTGCGCCCCGAGGCGCGCGGCGGGCTTCTCCACTACGTCGCGGCCCCGCCCCGATCGTCGCGGCCCCGCCCCTTGACGCGGCCCCGCTCTACGTCGCGGCCCCGCCCCTTGACGCGGCCCCGCTCTACGTCGCGGCCCCGCCCCGGCCCGTCGCCGCCCGTGCGCCTGCCCGGCTCGGCCCCGCCCTACCTTCGCGGCCCCGCCCAACGTTGCGGCCCCGCCCTATGTCGCGGCCCCGCCCTACGTCGCGGCCCCGCCCTATGTCGCGGCCCCGCCCCGACCGTCGCGGCCCCGCCCCTCGTCGCGGCCCCGGCCCCGTCCCCCCCCCCCCTTTTTCTCCCCTCCCCCCCAATTCCCGTCGTCCGTCGAGGCGACCTGAGGGGGCCGCTGCGCTGTGGGGTGGCAGGTATGGGGGTGGCCAGTGTACTTTCCTCCCTTTGCTCCTCCTCCTCCTTCGTCTCCCACTGCTGCAGCTGTCGCTGAGGGGGGTGGTTGTGTGGGAGACTGGGGTTTAGGGTTTTAGGGGGGTGCGTGGGAGTAGAGCTAGTGGTGTAGCAGTGGGTGTGTATCAGGGGGGTGGGACTGTGTGCGGGAGGATGAGCGGAGGTTGCCAGTTTTTCGTCAGCAGCACCTGTAGTCCGGGGCGCTGTCCCGGTAGCCCAGTCGTAGCCAGCTGTGCCAGCCGCCCGTGGGTCCGTTGCCCGTCCGCCGCTATTTGAGCCGCGGGGCCTGTTACTCCTGTAGTCCGGGCGCTGTCCGGTAGCCGCTGTGCCAGTCTGCCTCCTGTTGCCCGTGTGTCTGCAGCTTCAGCCGTCGCCTCCTGTCTCCTCTCCCCTCACTCTCCCTCCTCCTCCTCACTTGCCCGTTGTGACTACCACTAGCTTTGCTTATAATTGTGAACTCTAAACTATTTCTTCTTGAACTTGTGCTCAGAATGTGTGGTGACATTGTGATCCACCCTGAGCTTGTTTTGCTTTGCCTGCTCTGCTGATTACACCCCACTTTGGCTATGGGGGTGTGTCAGAATATTATTCTTATGTTCTAGCCTGTAGTGGGGTGCTCTATAGCGAGTACAACCCTTCTAGGGTTTGCTATTTGTATCCCCATTCTTGCTAGTTCAATCCTCTTTCTTCCTTCAAACTTTAACAATTTCGACTGACACAGCCCGAGCTCGACGAGTTAAGGAAGCAGTTACATTACCTGTTAGAGAAGCAGTTTATCCGACCGAGCTCGTCACCGTTCGCCGCACCGATACTCTTCACACCGAAAAAAGACGGAGGGTTCCGCATGTGCATCGACTACCGAACGCTTAACAGGGTAACAGTCAAATCGCGATACCCCATCCCCCGCGCCGACGAACTGATCGACCAACTGCGAACAGCACGAATCTTTTCGAAAATAGATTTACGGGGAGGTTACCATCAGATTCGGGTCGAACCATCGGACTGCGCCAAAACAACATTTAGGACTAGGTACGGGTCATTCGAGTATACAGTAATGCCATTCGGGCTGACGAACGCGCCTGCGACATTTCAGATGACCATGAACGAGGCGTTTAGACCACTTTTAGATAAATGCGTGATAGTTTACCCGGACGATATCCTAGTTTACAGCCGGGATAAGCAGCAGCACTAAGTGGATCTTGAAGCAGTTTTTAAGGTTTTGGAGGAACATCGGCTACTCACCAAGGGCTCCAAGTGCGAGTTTTTTCGGGACAGGCTAGAGTTTTTGGGTCACGTCATTTCGGAGGCTGGGGTTGAGATTGACCCAAAGAAACTGGATACGGTAAAAGCGTGGCGCCCCCCGACAAACATCACGGAACTGCAGAGTTTTTTAGGTTTTTTTAATTACGTTCGACGGTTCGTGCCCGACATGGCGCGTTTAACAGCCCCACTCACTGATTTACTGCGTAAGGGGGTCGCTTTTACGTGGGGGGAGAAAGAGCATGCTGCCTTCTCTGCCCTGAAAAACGTTCTCTGTTCACCACCCGTTCTACGCATCGCTGATCCCCACCGCCCTTTCGAAGTGGTTACCGACGCAAGTGACATCGCCATCGGAGCTGTACTGTTACAGGACTTCGGCGACGGCCTCCAACCCATCGCCTACGAATCACGCAAACTACATCCGCCTGAGCGAAATTACCCGATACACGACCGCGAAATGCTCGCGATCGTGCACGCATTCAAAGTGTGGCGCTGCTACTTGACCGGCGCAGACGTGACAGTACGGACAGACCATCGATCTCTACAGTACCTCCGTGCACAGCCCCACCTCAACCCACGACAGATTCGATGGCTCGATTTCCTCGAGTCGAACTTTCACTATACGGTCACATACAAAAAAGGAGCCTCGAATATCGCCGACGCACTGACCCGCCCCACTGCCCAGATCCACGCGATACTACTCGCCCAGACCAGCCCGTTACTGACAGGCCTATTTATCCACGGATATCAAACAGACCCGTTCTTTACAGGAGGCAACTCACAGCAATTCGCAGCGGCAAAAGGAGTCTATTACGTAAAAGCTGGAACCGACCGCATCTGGGTACCAGGATACACGCTACTGCGGGAACTACTGTTACAGGAGGCACACGACGGAGTTACCTCGGGCCATTTCGGGGTAGAAAAAACACGGCAGCAGCTGCAGCGGTACTACTACTGGCCATAAATGTTGACCGATGTGCAATGACACGTGGCATCGTGCCCCACTTGCCAGCTCATGAAGTCAAGCAGGAAGCGGCCGGCGGGACAATTACAACCCATCCCGCCCCCAGAGCGTGCTTGGCAGCAGGTGACGATGGATTTCGTTACGGGGTTACCAGCTGGGGCGAGTGGGAATGACGCGATCCTGGTCGTCGTCGATCGACTAACGAAGATGGCTCATTTCGCAGCATGCAGGAAATCAATCACAGCCGAGGAAACCGCCCGACTCTTCATCACCACCGTCGTTCGACTGCACGGGATACCCGCATCGATCATCAGCGACAGAGACACGAAATTTACAAGCAACTTCTGGCGGAACCTGTGGCAGCAGTTCGGCACGCGCTTACAGTTCAGTTCATCCTATCACCCCGAAACCGACGGACAGACGGAACGGACAAATCAGACCATGGAGCAGCTGATTCGAGCCACGTGCGACGATCCGAATACGTGGGAACAGCAGCTGCCACTCATCGAGTTCGCATACAATAACGCACCATCAGCCACGACGCAACAGTCGCCGTTTTACTTGAATTACGGACAGGACCCAACAGTACCCATGACACCGAATCCCGACAACCCCGTCCCACGAGCACAACAGTTCGCCGAGATTCTGCAAGCAGCACGGACCAGGGCAGCAGAAGCAATCAAAAAATCAAACATCATCGCTAAACGCAACGCCGATCGCCATCGCAGACCCGTTACTTATCAGCCCGACGACCTCGTTTTACTCGACACTCAGAACCTCCGCCTGCCCATCACTCCAAAACTCCGCCCTCGATACTGTGGGCCATTTCGAATCAGTCACATGGTTACGCCAGTCACCGCGCACCTCCTCCTCCCTGCTGACTGGTACGTCAGCCCCTCGTTCCACGTTAGCTTACTTCGCCCTTACGTGCCATCCACCAGCCAACTCCCACGACATCGACCCACCAGCATGACACGACCCCCAACCGAACCAGTCATCACTCCCGACAAGATCCTGAGCCACAGAGTTCGCGACCCTCGAGGAGCCCGAAAAGTGGAGTTTCTGATCCGCTGGAAAGATCGTACCCCCACCGAGGACAATTGGGTTCCCCTGGAGAAAATTGAAAATCACCCCGTCGTCACCGACTACCTGCGTAGCCGCAATTTCCGAGACATCCACGCGCTTTCATAAGGAGGACCTCCTTAGGAGGGGGGGTAGTGTAAGGAAATTCCCTTTTCCTTACTTCGCGTCCCTGCTCAACGCGTACATCACTGTAGCACCTCAGTCAGCACCGTTACCACTCGCGACCATCGCATCATTCATCATCCCGCCCTTTTCGCACATCGCATCCCGACCTCACGGCTCGGCTGGTAACCTGCGCTCCGGACCTACGCTTCGACACTTTCCCAACCTCAGTCCCAGGCTCGTCGCGCGACCATTACCGTTACCACTGTAGTTTCGCTATATAATGTTCGCTCATGCCTTTGCTCATTTGTATTCTTGCTTCGATAGTGCAATTCTCGTTCGTTCACTCAATTGCACTCGTAACACTAAATAACTCAAGATGTTTCCGGTATTGAAATGAATGGCCGACTTTCGAAACTCGGTCCCTGAAATTTGACCTGACTGCATTGTCGTTTTCCGTCTGGACCACATCTGGTCTGGACTCCACTGTACACTCGCTGTACAGTGCAGCGACTGTCACTCGCCGCCGCCTAGCGCGTTAAAATACAGCCTTTCGCACGACGTTCGCCAATACCCTCCGAATACATGGGGTCATTTGCGACGCCGCATACTGTAGGCGAGCGTCGTAGACAGCCAGTACAGTAATTCTCCTTTCGCACACTCAACCCGCCCCATCACTCCCTCCAAACCAAATCCGTCGCCTCGCCATGCTAGAAAATCGGAATGCTCGTGTGGTGTGTGTTGAGTCGTGCGTGACAAGTAGCGCTGAAAGCCGCAGTGACTTCAAGGGCTACAAGCAGCAGCGGAGTTTGAGTGAGTTTGCGAAGCAAGGGCGCGAAGGGTGGCACTGACCTCGTCGCATGGGAGATCGCGAATTTTAGCCACTGTAGTATGAGCTAGCGCTCCCGCGACGCTCGAGCGATCTCTTCATAATCGGCTCTCGTCGTCCTGCGCGTCGTAGATTTTAGGGCTGCATTGCGAGCGCGGCGACAGAAGTTGGCGACGATGGCGAATGACAGGTGTCTGTCGTCGGTGTCGCACGTGTCGATGCTGCTGATGTCGCTCGTGCTTCTCGGCACGTGCCTGTGGGCCATGCTCAGGTCAGCTACTAGTAATGCTAATCCGATGCCGCGTCGCGCCTTTTAATGTGCCATCCCGATGATGATACCCCAATTACTGCATCCGCCATCGCCGCCTGAAAAATGCGGCGCTTAAAATAATTCGCCGCTGTTATTGATACCCTTACTACCAGCTTTTCTCATCTACCGCACCGCGTTTCTCGCACCGCACAAAGTTCTGCTTTGCTACACAGCCCGACAATAACATTTCCATCCCTTATCGTCCTTCGATGCGCGCCGATGAATCTCCCATTCGCGCCTTCCCAGCGCCGCGTTGCTCTCGACTTACTAATCTTTAAAGAACTCACCGCCGCCCTCCGCGCCTGCCGAGCGCCGTCGCCGCTCATCCCCGCTGCGCTGCTTGCGATCCGCCTCTTGGTGTCCCTTCATCCGCCCTCAACCCCCCCCTCCCCCCCATCTTCCCCTTCTTCCCCTCTTCCCTTTACCCCTCCCCCCCCCCACCCCCCTCTCCGCGCCCCTCCCCTCCCCCATCCGCGCGCCGCGCATCCGCGCAGCACGCCAGCGAGCAGCTGTTTGATAGGCTATCAGATACCGCTGGTGGTGATCGCGTCGGTGCTGCTGCTCGCCGCAATCGTCGGGCTGGTGGGGCTCGCGTGCGACCACGGCGGGCTGGGCGGCCTGCACCTCCTGCTCGCCGTCGCGGGCCTCCTCGCGCTCATCGGCTACACCAGTACGCGCTTGCTATTCGCGCTGCCTTTAGAACCATTAGTCGGAATACACCAGTACGCGCTTCAAGTGTTTACGCCGCATTTTGCAGCCATTAGTTCGCCGACACCAATGCGCACGTAGTCGCGCCGTCTTCAGGTAAAAATAAGTTGGTTGGTCTACAAAAGAGGGCGCCAAAATGCGAGGGTACACATTCAGCCCTTCCGATTATGGCGAATATGGGTCGGTTGACGAAATCGAAATTTCCCGCGCGAAAGTGAAAAAAAATCGTGCGCAAGCACTCTCGCACCGGCAAAAGATGCATACGCTCTCTATAGCCCGCCTCTACAACCATTCATAAACCTTCGGTGTATCGTGCTGAGTCCCCCGAACTTTCCCTTCCCCCACCCCCTCTTCCCCACCTCCTCCCTCGTCCCCCCCTCTCCGCGCAGTCTTCGCGTTCGTGGTGACGACGGGCGGCGCGGCGGAGAAGAGCCGCGGGCAGACGGTGTACGCGCCGGCGACGTTTTCGTCGTGGATGCAGCAGCAGGTGTGGAACGACGCCACGTGGAGCGCGCTGCAGACGTGCCTCAAAGACATCCACACGTGCAGCGACCTCCGCGACTACGCGCCCGCGCAGCTGCAGGGGAAACAACTCTCCCCGCTCGAGGTGAGTGTGGGGGGGAAGGGGGAAGGAGGGCGGGGGAGGGTGGGGGGGAATGCGGGGAATGGGAAGGATGGGGGCAGACGTGCCTCAAAGACATCCACACGTGCGGTGATCTGCGCGACTATTCGGCTGCACAGCTGCAGGGGAAACAGCTCTCCCCGCTCAAGGTGCGCGCGCGAGAGAGGGGTATGGAAGGGGGGAGAGATGTGGGGGGTGGGAAGGGGAAAAAGGGGAGGGGTGAGGGGAAGGGGGCTGCTTACTCGATGGACCCTTTGCATGCACTGCATGCCTGCTTTCATTCACTGCGTGCGATGTTTACTTAGTCATGCGCTGGCAGCATGCACTGTTTCCATTGTTCTCGCATCCCCAATTCTCCCTCTGCTCATACCTCAATCATTCTTTGTTGCCCCAACCCCATTGCCCATTCCCCATTCCCCCATGGTTTGGCAGGCGGGGTGCTGCATGCCGCCAGAGAACTGCTTCGTGAACTCCTCGCTGCCCACCTTCTTCTCCTTTGCCTTCGAGCTCCCCTCCACTGACGCCCACCCCATCACTGACAACGCCCCTGCCGCCGCCGCTGCTGTCCTGCGCGACCCGCGCAACTGCAGCGCGTTCAGCCTGGAGTCCAACCAGCTGTGCTACAGCTGCGAGTACTGCAAGGGCGGCGTGCTACAGCAGCTCAAATCGGATCTCCTTGTAGAGGCGTACTTCGGCGTGGGAGTGGCGTGCACGATGCTGCTGGTGGCCATGGTCATGTGCTGCACGCAGTGGGGCAAGGGGGGGCGCAACGACGACAAGAGGCGGCTTCTGGACGACCGGGGTGTGAGCATGAGCCGCACTGCCTGCTTCCAGGGAGGGCCGAACCTCAACCGCGTGAACACGTACCAGAGCCAGGGCGGGCCTCAGTTCAACCGGGTCAACACGTATCAGAGCCAGGGCACGCCCGATTTCAATCGAGTCAACACCTACCAGATCTATGGTGGGGAGCCGGATTTTCAGCGGGCAAACACTTACCAGAGTGGTCGGGATGGGTTCAGCCGCCCGATGTCTCAGCAGGGGAAGCGCGGTGGGGGGCAGCACCAGGGGTATGGGAGGATCGGCGACATGCCATCGCCGCGTAACAGCGATTTCGGAATGGACGAACCAGATCTGGAGAGGAACAGGACCTGGAGCGCCAGCAACCCGCCTCCCGGGGAGGCCAGGACTCCGCGGGGAGGGGGAGGGCGCGGGCGAGGGAGGGGACGTGGAAGGGGACGGGCGGGAAGAGGCGGAGGGGGGAGGACACCGGAGCCTGGGGAAGGGCATGCGCGAAGGGAGACCTGGGGGTCGGAGGGAGGTGGGAATGTTGGGCAAGGCGGTGAGTACATGGAAACGCCTCCGCCTGCACGTGCCCAGGAGAGGCCGCAGACCTCCCCGCAGCCGGTAGCACCGCTGCCGCCGCCACCCCAGGTTGAGGATGTGGAGGCACAAGCGGGCGGTAACATGGACATGTATGACTAGTGGGTCGCACTGTGTGTGCGATGGGGCTAATGTGTATGAGAGGAGACATAGGGGCAATCTACTGTGGTCAGACACATGTGTGATACTTCTGTTTGCTTTTAAGGGAGTGGGACGGGGAGCTGGGCTGGGAAAAAGGTGCGAAGAACGAGAGGGTAAGTGACTAGGAGGATTTTTGTTGAAGTTGGGGTCTGTCATTGGGCAATAAGCACACACTAAACCAGTTTTGGGACTTCCTAGACTCTAGATGTAATAATGATTCTGCTGTGGTGATTAGATGCTCATGGGATGGGATCTTTTTATGGCCCCAGACGCATCTTCTGGGTGCAATGCGCTCAGTAGCGAATCTCTTTCATGATTCCCACCCCGCTTCCTGAGCTTCACAATTATTGAAGTAGGCTCTTCCGTCGCACTAGGCGGAATTTAGCGAGGTTTTCGTCGCACACCAGTTCGCTGGCGACACACTGCCATCTTTGGGAAGTTGTCTTCAAGCCTCTACCTGGTTACCCTGCACTCAAATAATTGCGAGCGCCCCTCGAGTTCATCTCGTGGCGCGGAAGAATCGGGAATTGACAATTTCTCGTTCACCTCACCCCTCTGCTGCTCTCATCGCCAAGAGCATCTCGCTCTTTCCGTGCTTGCCGTGTCGTCGCTGTCTTTAGTTGGCCTTCCTCGCACCGCCCTTGCCGCGAGACCTGTCTGGTGCGCAAAGCTTCTTCCCTCGTGCGAAATATATAAAAGGACGACGCCAAGGCTCCGAATTTCGCAGAGCGCAAATTGAGCTGGAGGCTTAATCTTGTCTTCTCGACCCTCGAGCATCTCTGTCCTCGCCTGACACGCTCCAGTTCCCGGGTGTATATCTTCAGACTTCAATCCACTTCTGAAGTAATTTCTCTAAGTCGGAAATAGCCTCCAGTTTCTAACCACTCCAGCTGCTGCTCCTTACTGATCTCCATGGGTGTCGCGAAGACGCTGACGGCGATAACGACGGCGCTAGTCCTTCTGTTGTCGATAGTCCTCATCGGTACAGGGATATGGATGACCACCCGGTAAGCTTGCATAGATACTAGGAAGCCTAGTAAGGTTATGAACGCATGCAGATCGAATTATGTCTTTTTGTACAATTTCTGAAAACTCTTCAAGTCGAGAACCTTTTGTCGCGGACTGTTCAAACGTCCTTTCGCTTCGTCTGTTCTTTCCGTCGAGTTTCAGAGCCGGCGCGACGGAGTGCGTGCAGTTTCTTCGCATCCCGCTGATCGTCGTCGGCAGCGTGCTGTGCGCCGTGGCTCTCGCCGGGTTCATCGGCGCCGTTAACGACATCGCATGGCTGCTCTTCATCTACCTCGCTGTAGTCTTCATCGCTATATGGGTGCTCCTCGGATTTACAGGTATATAAAGTATTTCAAGTCCCTTTTGTAGATACCCCACCTTCGCTACTTATTTAAGATTAACTTAGCGAGCTCCGCGGCTCTCACAACTATCCATCGTAGATGAGAGCCAAGTCACACACCGCTCCCCTCACCCTCCCCCATTCGGCGTGCGCGCGCGACAGTGTTCGCGTTCATCGTGACAAATCAAGCGGTGGCGGACGCGGTGTCGAACAAGGGCGTGGGCTCGTGGAAAACGACAGATTTCTCCATGTGGTTACAGAATCAAGTCACGGAGCAGTCCAAGTGGGCGCCCATCCAGGCGTGCCTCGCGGCCGGCAACACGTGCGGCGTGCTCAGCCAGACCAACACGACTGCTTCTTCGTCGCTCACCGCCATCCAGGTACCACAGACCAGCTCACATTCAGGTGCCAGCACATGCCGCTCACATTTTATTCACTATTTCGGCTTCGATTTACACCTTCTCTTTTAGAAAATCAGCGCCTCTCATTTACTCGTTTCTGTTCCGTTCACCTTCCAGCTGACCTCTTCCACCGCACCCGCCCCTCCCCCAGGCCGGTTGCTGCTACCCCCCCCAGTCCTGCCCCTCCGCACCCCTCTCTGCCACCTCGCGCGCAGACCTCCCCGCAAACACCACTGATGCCGCCGCCGCCGCCGCTGCTCTCGCTTCCGCAGTCAACTCGACAATTTCAACCGGCAGTTTCACAGGCGACTGCCTGGTGTACGGCAGCGAGCCGGCGAAGCTGTGCTACGGGTGCGACACGTGCAAGGCGGCGTTCCTCAAGACGCTGCGCGACCAGTGGCGCATGGTGGCGTTTGTGTGCCTAGGCGTGTCGCTGCTGCTGCTTGTTGTGTATATTGTTGGCTGCTGTGCCTACCGCAGCGCCAAGAGGCGGGAGGGATTCTTTGGAAAGGTGTGATGCAGGGAGGTGGAAGGCAGCAGGTGCGGTTTGATGAGGTGCTTTGTTGTGGTGAAAGTGGGGAGGTGAGGTTGGAAGAGAGATCCAGCAGGAGAAGAGCACAAGTGGGAGGAAGGAATAGTGTTCCAGTGGAGGGGTAGTATTGAGGAGTGCAAATAATGAGTGTAGGCTTAGCAGCCCGAGAAGGGTGAGCAGCCCTACTGATAAGAGGCACTGCCTTAGTGCCTCCAATAAAAGGCCCTTGCAAGTTATGGTGGCACATATGTACGGTACCCACAGGGCACCATAGATTCAGTATCTGGAGGACTCGTCAGGCTTGTTGGCCTGCTTTGAATTCCCTTCTAATGTCCACATAGTAGCCTTAATCTGAAGTTTTTTCTTACAAAACACTTTTGGACTCCACTCTTCTCTTAGTGAGCCCCATTTCTGTTACCATTCACATGTTTTCCCTGCGTGATTTCCCTCCCCAGCTCTCAGACTCTTCTGCTCCACATTATTAAAGTATGCTTTTCCATCGCACGAGGCGAAACCTAACGAATTTCGCTGATAACACAACTCGCGTAAAGCGACACAGCGGTAGACCTGGGATGGGAGGTCGTCTTGAAGCCTCTGCCCGGTTACCCATCACAGCCCAAATATTTCCGATCGAGCCCCCCTTGAATGCATCTCGTGGCGCGCAAGAATCAAGGAATGTATATTTCTTCTGCTGCATTACTGGCCACCTCTGCTGTGCTCACCACCTTGAATGCATCTCAGTCCTTCCGTTCTTGCCGTGTCGTCGCTGTCCTAGTCGGCCTGGCCTTCCTCGCTTCGCCCTTGCGTGCGCAGCGATTCTTCTTTCGCACGTAATCTTCAAAGAAACGACGCCAAGATCTCGGATTTCGTAGTGCGAGGACTGCGATGGGAAAGCTGAATATCTTCGCACTCGACATCCATTCTATATCATACAGCCTCGAGGCCACTTTATCACCTGAAAGTTTCATCACCGGTCACTCTCCAGTCTCTGTGTGTATCGACAGATTCAATCCCGTGTGTGACATCTTTCTGGTCCAAGTTAATCGCAATCAAGCTCCATGGGTGTCGCGAAAACGCTGACGGCGATAACGACGGCGTTAGTCGTTTTGTTGTCGATAGTCCTCATCGGTACAGGCATATGGATGACCACCCGGTAACTATAATGGATAGTGAGGAGCTGCTAAAGAGTATGGATGCTTATGATTGTTAGTGTTGTGACTGAATTTCCTCCACGCCAGCAACCTCTAACGCAGACTCTTCAACCCACTATTTTTCAATTCGTGTCCCTTCCTCCCGTCGAGTCGCAGCGCCGGCGCGACAGAGTGCGTGCAGATCATTCGAATCCCGCTGATACTCGCCGGCAGCGTGCTGTTCGCCGTGGCTCTTGCCGGGTTTATTGGCGCCGTTAACGACATTGCATGGCTGCTCTTCCTCTACCTCGCTGTAGTCTTCATCGCTATATGGGTGCTCCTCGGATTCACAGGTACGATTGTAGTACAACACGAAGCCCTCTTATACTCTTCTGCCCAACTTCGATACTCACACTTGTTTAAGCTTAACTTTGCGAGCTCCACTGCGCACCCATCCTTTTCGTAGACGAGAGCCACGTCACATACCGTTCCCTTCGCCCTCCCTCACGCTCCTCCAACCCCACATCCGGTATTGTCGCGCGGCAGCGTTCGCGTTCATCGTGACGAACCAGGCGGCGGCGGACGCGGTGTCGAACAAGGCCGTGGGTTCATGGAATACGACGGATTTCTCCACGTGGCTACAGAACCAAGTCACGGAGCAGTCCAAGTGGGCGCCCATCCAGGCGTGCCTCGCGGCGGGCAACACGTGCGGCGTGCTCAGCCAGACAAACACGATTGCGTCCTCAGCGCTCTCCCCTATCCAGGTGCCACAGATGGGCTCACTATCGCTATCATCACCGGTTCATGGTGGTTGCTCGGTCTTTTGTCTTAGAACCCACACCACGAGTCGAGGCCTCATTCTTTCGTTTCTCTTTCCTTGATCTTCCACCCGACCTCCCACACCCGCCCATTCCCCAGGCCGGTTGCTGCTATCCCCCCCAGTCCTGCCCCTCCGCGTCCCTCACCGCCACCTCGCGCGCAGCCTTCCCGACCAACACCTCGGCCGCTAATGCCACCGCAGCCACCGCCGCCGCGCTTGCTTCCACAGTCAACTCCACGATCTCAACTGGCAGTTTCACCGGCGACTGCCTGGTGTACGGCAGCGAGCCCACGAAGCTGTGCTACGGGTGCGACACGTGCAAGGCTGCTTTCCTCAAGATGTTGCGCGATCAGTGGCGCATTGTGGCGTTTGTATGCCTGGGCGTGTCGCTGCTGCTGCTCGTTATCTACATTGTTGGCTGCTGCGCCTACCGCAGCGCCAATCAGCGTGAAGGTTTTCTTGGGAAGGTTTAATGCAGGTAGGTGGAAGGCAGCAGGTGTAGTGCAGTGTGGTGTGGTGTGGTGTGGTGTGGTGTGTTGTGGTGTGGTGTGGTGTGGAGTGGGTTAGTGTGGTGTGGTGTTGTGATGGGAAAGGGGTCAGCAGCAGAAGACAAGAACCGGAAGGCATTGTTCTCCTGTAGAGGCGTAGAGGGTCCAATTGTAATAATGTGCCTGGGCTTAGCAGGGTGAGCAGCCATGCTGATAGGGGCACTGCCTTAGTGCCTCCAATAAACGGCCCTTACAAGTTAGAGTGCATCACATCACATAGCAACACAGGTTCAGGATTTTGAGAGCCCTCAGGCTTGTTGTCATCCCAGTTAAAACCTCCAATAATCTCCATGTAAAGTGCCTCAATCTGAAGCTTTTGCCTTGGGAGGAAACACATTCGAACTGCATGTAGTATTTTCTATCAAAGGCAACAAGTCCCACTTCTACAGAAGGTGTTACAGGCCTACAGCACTCCCACGAAGGCGGGCCTCCACTGCACAGAGCACCAGTCAGGCGGCACTCCTGACTTGCACCTCTCCCCAACCCAGGCCGCACTCCACCGCCTTCCACTCACCACAAACCATCTCCACCCTTTCACTCCACTCCCCCTGGCTGCGGTCTCTGGGCCTGAGCAGCCAGCATGGCGTCGCGCTCGCACTCGTGCAAGTCAGCGTGCCCCAGAAAGCCCTCTTCTCCCACCCACTCCACCCGACCAACCTTCACCCAACTCCACCCACTCACTCCACTCCCCCCGGCCGTGGTCTCCTCGCCTGAGCAGCCAGCTTGGCGTCGCGCTCGTACTCGCGCATGCCGGCCAGCCGCTGAAGAAAAGCCCTCTTCTACCACTCACTCCACCCCACCCACCTCCACCCACTCAATCCACTCCCCCCGGCCGTGCTCTCCTGGCTTGCGCAGCCAGCTTGGCATCGCGTTCGCGCTCGTACTCGCGCAGGTCAGCCTGCCCCAGAAACGCCCTCTTCTCCGTGTACGTGGCACCGCTCCTCCTGTACTCCTCCAACTCCTCCACCACGCCCGTGCCCTCCTTGTACTCACTCCAGTCCTGTGCGATGGGGGGCGGGGAGAAAGGGTGGTTGGAGATGGAGTGAGAGGCGAAGGCCAGTGCTCCTGCGATGCCCCTCCAACTCCACCACCACACCAGCTCCCTCCTTATACTCACTCCAGTTCTGGTGGGCAGCAGAGGACGGGGAGGTTTGGGAAAGGGGGGATGGAGTGAGAGGGAGCAAGAGGCCAGTGCTGCACTGCTCCAACCGCACTGCCACACCCACTCCCTCCTTGTGCTCGCTCTAGTCCTGGAAGATGGGCGGGCGGTTGGAGGGGGAGAAAGGGCAGAGCTACATGAGTGGGAGTGACACTGCTTCTCTGGTACCTTTGCAACCACACTGCGTGTCGTGGAATCAATTTTTGGGATCTCTTACAGACTGAGCACTCGCCGTCACCACGCTTCCGTTAGGCTACCTCTTCTCGTCCGTGCATTACGCGCACTCTGAGAATGCTCAGGACGTCCTGTCTTGTGTGCACTCACCTTGCGTGACTTGTCCATTCTCAGCCCGGGCACACACCTTGCACGGCTCGCTCACCTTGCGTGACTTGTCGAGGATGTTGAGTTTCTTCTTCTTCTCCATCTGCGCCAGTATGGCGTCCAACCCCTTTGATGTCGACGCCTGCCAGCCATGCGGGGGACGGGAGAGGGCGGAGAGGGGAGAGAGAGGATGTAAAGATGGGTTGTGGAGCAGCAGCGACTTGTCACGGATGTTGAGCTGAGTTTCTTCTTCTTCTCCATCTGCGCCAATATGGCGTCCAACCCCTTCGATGTCAACGCCTGCCAGCCATGCGGGGGACGGGGACAGGGCAGTGACGGGAGAGGGCGGGGAGGGGAGAGAGAACGAGGAGGGGTGAGGCCAGGAAGGGGAGAGGGAGGATGTGGAGTGGAGACGCGGCGTGGAGCAGCAGAGGGAGAGCACTCTTGAGAGCATGAGTGAAGGGCAAGCGACGACAGTGGAACATGGGCGCTCACCTGCTTTGCACCATGCAGCAGAGGCTGCTTCATTGCACTTCCTCTCGCCTCTCACCTTCCTCTTGCCTCTCTCCCTCACCTGCATGTCGGCCTTGCGCTTGGCAGCAGCAGCCTCTTTAGAGCGCGCGTCCAGCACCCGCACCACCTCCACCGCCTCCCCTGCAAAGTCCACCACCTCCCGCACCTGGGGGCAATGCGCGGCAAGGCCCGGGGGCAATGCGCAGTGGGGCAGCATCAAGATCCAGAGCAAGTAGAGTTGAATAAACAAATCATGGGGAGGTGTGAGGGACAGGCTCAGCGGAAAGAGCTCGAAGGATCGCCACAAGTACCAGGACGAAGCTCCCTAATCCCCCTGTCCCCCTGCACGCACCTGCACTTTGGAGTCGTCCACCACTGCCCCCCCTGCTGCTGCCCGTGTCGCTCTCAACGCCGCCGCTGCTGCTGCCGCCCGCTCTGCACCTGCTGCTGCAGCAGCAGTGGTATTCTCTCTTGCCACGTCCCCCTCTTTGTTCCCCTCCCCACTCCTTCGACCATTCCCCTCGTCCACCTCCATATTCCCCCCCTCCCGCACCCCATCATCCCCTCTACCCTCTGCCTGCCCCGCCCCCCCCCTCTCTGCACTCCCCAATGCTCCTTCCGCTCCCCCAGCCGCCTTTCCGCTGCTCCTCTCTCCCCGCGCGTCACTGCCAGCAGCATCCGATTCGGGGGCAGAGTGTGGGAGGGGCCTCAGACCCAGGTCCCACACCCACGACTGGGGGGTGGGGGGACGGGCAGAAGGTGGGAGGAGAGGGGGGTGGTGTGAGAGGCACGACGTGGAGGTGAGAAGCGTTAGGCCCAGGTCCCACACCCACGACTGGACGATGACTTTTGAGTCGACTCAAAAGTCAACGCGTTAGGCCCAGGTCCCACACCCACGACTGGACGATGACTTTTGAGTCGACTCAAAAGTCAACGCGTTAGGCCCAAGTCCCACACCCACGACTGGACGATGACTTTTGAGTCGACTCAAAAGTCAACGCGTTAGGCCCAAGTCCCACACCCACGACTGGACGATGACTTTTGAGTCGACTCAAAAGTCAACGCGTTAGGCCCAAGTCCCACACCCACGACTGGACGATGACTTTTGAGTCGACTCAAAAGTCAACGCGTTAGGCCCAGGTCCCACACCCACGACTGGACGATGGAGGGAGGGGGAGAGGAGGCAGAAGGTGGGGAGAGGGGGGGGGGGGGGGGGGGGGGGGGGGGGGGGGGTGGTAACGGTGTGGGAGACACGAGGTGAGGAGCGGTAAGGGGCTTCAAGCCCTGGTTCCACACCCACGACTGAAGGTTGGGGGAAGGGAGGACGCAGAAGGTGGGGAGGGGAGGGGGGGTGTGTGAGAGGCACGACGTGGAGGTGAGGAGCGTTAGGGGACGTTGAGAGGGGCACTTATGCACCTGATCTGCCTGATTCCGGCAGCCTGTGGCTGTGGCGGTAGCAAAGCATTACACATCGCAGCACCGCACTGAACCTCGCGCGCGCCACTCACAGGGACGGGTTTCTTCGCCGCGCTGCCGCCGCTCGCCGTCTGCGCGGCCCCGCGCTGCCGCAGCCGCTGCGTCAGAATCAGCTCCACGCGCGCGTCGCGCAGCTTCACCGTCTCGCCCGGATTTCCCGCCGTCGCTTGCACCGCAAGATCCGCGGAACCTGCCGCTCCACCGTCTAAAGCGGCGGCTATTGCGCTTCCGCCTCCATCTCCGCGCGGCTGTGCGGGAGGTGCGGCGGCGGAAGCGGCGGAGAGTCTGCTTCCCGCCATGGCTGCGGGCGCGGTGGCGGCCTTGAGGCGCTGCCACGCCGCGTCGACCGCCGACATTGCACGGGCGCGGCGGGCGGTTGTTGAAGCAGATACGAGGCGATGACTGCTGAAGGATTGGATTGGGTTGCGCGTAGCGGCACGAAGCCACTTGCGAGTCCTGTGCTTTCCGAAAAGACGACGTGTTGCTGGGAAGGTGAGTTCGAGATTCTAATGTGGGTCCTGGAAAATTACGAAGAGAAATCCTAGTGGCCAGGTTCCAAGGTGAAAAAATCTGGACTAAAAATAGTGGGAGTTGCTGAATCTGCACTTCTGCTCCGAACAAATTACCTCTTAGGGAAACAGTGGAACTCGTGTTAAAAAAATTGCGTGTGACAGTTAAACGAAATTGTTACATGCGGCGAAACATATCGTAGGTGCAAGGCAAGAGCAAGTCAGCAGCCAATCCCGTTTCATGAATTCAAATATTCGAGCAAATGCCCCACATCGATATTACCCAACTCTGACAAGGGGCCATTGGTGAAAGGCTCACAGCCAGGCCACAGCACGCATCACATCACAGCAAGCAGCTCTAGAAGCGATCACCCTTCGATACTCCTCAGTCTCCGACCATCAAGCTATCAAACCATTTGAAATAGCTACTGCTTCGGTACCTGCGGTAAATGCTTACAACCATGTCGCCCGCGCCCCTCTCGTCGGACGTCCTCCTCGCCGCCGTTGCGGGAACCGTGGTCGGAGCCGCCGTTGCTGCCGCCGCATTTTCCGCCACCCGCTTCGCGCGCTCCCGAGCATCCGCCGCCTCCGCTAGCATTTCCTCGCCTGACGTGGCGCGCTGTCGCTGCGCCAGGTCGGCGGAGCCTGCGCAGGAGCGCGGGCAAGAGCGCGCTGATAGGCCGGCGCAGTGCAGCCGCTGTCGTGATTCTTGCGCCCCCTGCGATAACCAGCGGAGCGATTGCGCCGTTGGCGGAGGGCAGTGCGGGGATACGCCGGTTGCGGAACCGATAATGTTGCGGAAAGGGGAAGGCCACGCGCAGGAAGAATGCCACGCGCAAGGGGGAAACCACGCGCAAGGGGAAGGACGCGCGCAGCACGTGGATGAAAATGCGAAAGAGAGCAGCGAAGAGCGGCACGGGAATGGAGAGCAGCGAAGGAGAGACGTTGCCCACCGGATGGCGATCACTCGTTGCGCCACGGTGGGAGGGTGCGCAGAGGTTGGGCGGGCGGCGGAGAGAGAAGGCGGGGAAAGGGAGGGGAATGAGGGGAACGATGGCGGAGCCGCGGAAGAAGGGACGGGGAAGCAACACCCGAAGAAAAACGATCCCTATGATGCGAGGAAAAGGAACGGGTAAGCGGGCAGGGCGTGCGTCGAATCATGCTGGCAAGGCTCTGACTTCGATTCGTGTAAACGCGATGGCGATGGAGGTGCGTGGTGGTGCGTGGTGGTGCGTGGTGGAGTGTGGTGTGCGACTTGCTGCGCAGGTGGTGTTGTACATTGTGCCCACACGTCGTGCTTCAGACGTTTCAGGGTGAATGGCGACGGTCCATGGATGAAGCATCCTTGTGACATTGCATTTGGCGTTTCCTATCCCGCCTGAATCATGGCTTGGCACGGCGGCATGGCATTGAACGGCACGCATGACATGGCATGGCATGGCATGGCATGGCATGGCATGGCAGGTTTTTGTCATGGGATGATTACTTCATGGCTGTGGCATTCCTCTCTGCTCAACGATCCAAGGACCCCAACAGACAGGTGAATTCAACACACAGGTGATTCCAACAGACAGGTGATTCCAACAGACACGTGGTTCTAAGAGACAGGTGAATCTAACAGACAGGTGATTTTAAGGGACAGGTGAATCTAACAGACAGGTGATTTCAACAGACAGGTTTTATCTCATCAGACATAAGTTGAAAATCTGTCTGCGCATCCGTTCTCACAGCACATGTGTGCATCCGGCCTCACAGCACATGTGTGCATGGCTGCATTGCCCATACGTGCGTGCAGGTTGGAGCATGCATTGTCGGCAGCGACCATGTCATTCTGGGTGAGCTGAGCACCACACAAATGAGCCAGTCACTTAACTTCGGCACCACATGCTCACATTATCACTGCCTCTCCTCCCATTCCTGCCCCCAACACACTTCACGCTTTCAAATCGTTTCTCTCCCTCCACTTCCCTAAAGTTGCAAATCTATCCTCCTCCCCTCTCACCTTTCTCTTGCTCTCCTCTCCCACCGGCAGGTATTGGGTACAACGGCTTTCCCCGGGGCATCTCAGATGACCTTCTGCCCTGGGCCAAGGTGGGGCACGGTGGGGCACGGTGGGGCATGGTGGGCTGTGGGCCCAGTTAGGAGATTATCATATCATGCTTTCGGTTGTCATGTTCAAATCTGGTCAGACTCTGTCCTGTGTGCCCCTGTCTCTATCTCTCATCTCCGTCCCTCTCTCTGTGCCTGCTTCTCTCTCTCTCTCCCTGCACGTGCAGCTCTCAGCACACAACGACCCACTCGAAACCAAGTACCCGTGAGTGCTTGCCTCCTGCCGCTCACAGTATCTCTAACCTCTTCCCTTCGTTCAGCCCAGCCCATGTGCCTCTCACTACCCTCTGCACACCTCTCCCTGCACCCCCTCCTTTGCTCTTTATCGGTCACCCTCATATCCCATCCCTCATGTCCGCAATCGCCCATCGCCCCATCCCCCATGCGCCTCACCAGCTACGTGTGTCATGCGGAGGTCAATGCGGTGCTCAACAGGAACCACGCCTCCGCGCTAGACCAGGTGTGCCCCCCTTTTCCAGTCCAGTATGTGCCGTGTCAGCTGGGGAACTGGTCCTCTGATGTTGGTGTTACTGTCCTTCCAATCCGCCTTTTGAGGATTCTCAAAAGTAGCACCAACATTGTGCGCCTGTCAGCTAGGGGACTATCACATTGTGCGCCTGTCAGCTAGGGGACTATCACATTGTGCGCCTGTCAGCTAGGGGACTATCACATTGTGCGCCTGTCAGCTAGGGGACTATCACATTGTGCGCCTGTCAGCTAGGGGACTATCACATTGTGCGCCTGTCAGCTAGGGGACTATCACATTGTGCGCCTGTCAGCTAGGGGACTATCACATTGTGCGCCTGTCAGCTAGGGGACTATCACATTGTGCGCCTGTCAGCTAGGGGACTATCACATTGTGCGCCTGTCAGCTAGGGGACTATCACATTGTGCGCCTGTCAGCTAGGGGACTATCACATTGTGCGCCTGTCAGCTAGGGGACTATCACATTGTGCGCCTGTCAGCTAGGGGACTATCACATTGTGCGCCTGTCAGCTAGGGGACTATCACATTGTGCGCCTGTCAGCTAGGGGACTATCACATTGTGCGCCTGTCAGCTAGGGGACTATCACATTGTGCGCCTGTCAGCTAGGGGACTATCACATTGTGCGCCTGTCAGCTAGGGGACTATCACATTGTGCGCCTGTCAGCTAGGGGACTATCACATTGTGCGCCTGTCAGCTAGGGGACTATCACATTGTGCGCCTGTCAGCTAGGGGACTATCACATTGTGCGCCTGTCAGCTAGGGGACTATCACATTGTGCGCCTGTCAGCTAGGGGACTATCACATTGTGCGCCTGTCAGCTAGGGGACTATCACATTGTGCGCCTGTCAGCTAGGGGACTATCACATTGTGCGCCTGTCAGCTAGGGGACTATCACATTGTGCGCCTGTCAGCTAGGGGACTATCACATTGTGCGCCTGTCAGCTAGGGGACTATCACATTGTGCGCCTGTCAGCTAGGGGACTATCACATTGTGCGCCTGTCAGCTAGGGGACTATCACATTGTGCGCCTGTCAGCTAGGGGACTATCACATTGTGCGCCTGTCAGCTAGGGGACTATCACATTGTGCGCCTGTCAGCTAGGGGACTATCACATTGTGCGCCTGTCAGCTAGGGGACTATCACATTGTGCGCCTGTCAGCTAGGGGACTATCACATTGTGCGCCTGTCAGCTAGGGGACTATCACATTGTGCGCCTGTCAGCTAGGGGACTATCACATTGTGCGCCTGTCAGCTAGGGGACTATCACATTGTGCGCCTGTCAGCTAGGGGACTATCACATTGTGCGCCTGTCAGCTAGGGGACTATCACATTGTGCGCCTGTCAGCTAGGGGACTATCACATTGTGCGCCTGTCAGCTAGGGGACTATCACATTGTGCGCCTGTCAGCTAGGGGACTATCACATTGTGCGCCTGTCAGCTAGGGGACTATCACATTGTGCGCCTGTCAGCTAGGGGACTATCACATTGTGCGCCTGTCAGCTAGGGGACTATCACATTGTGCGCCTGTCAGCTAGGGGACTATCACATTGTGCGCCTGTCAGCTAGGGGACTATCACATTGTGCGCCTGTCAGCTAGGGGACTATCACATTGTGCGCCTGTCAGCTAGGGGACTATCACATTGTGCGCCTGTCAGCTAGGGGACTATCACATTGTGCGCCTGTCAGCTAGGGGACTATCACATTGTGCGCCTGTCAGCTAGGGGACTATCACATTGTGCGCCTGTCAGCTAGGGGACTATCACATTGTGCGCCTGTCAGCTAGGGGACTATCACATTGTGCGCCTGTCAGCGAGGGGACTATCCTTCTGATGCTACCTGCCATGCCTGATAGTCCCCTCCATGTGTGCCTCTTCTTTCCATGTGTGCATGGCATGGCATGGCATGGCATGGCATGGCATGGCATGGCATGGCAGCGCATCTACGTGACCATGTTCCCATGCAACGACTGCGCTAAAGTCATCATCCAGGTGCGTCCCTCTCCCTGCACCTCCATGTGCCACCAGTGTATGAGCGGGCGGTGCAGAGTGTGAGTGGGCGGTGCAGCGTCTGAGCGGGCACTGCAGCGTGTGAGCGTGCGGTGCAGCGTATGAGCGTCCCCCTCCATGTGCCAACTCTACCGGCACTCTTCGCACCCTGCCTCCCTGCCATGTTTCGGCCTCCATGTGCCTCCTGTCGCCCCAGCAGCAACAGTCAGCCTTGCCCTCTGATGTGTGTACATGCATGTGTGCATGCTATGCATGTGTGTGCATGGGCATGCATGTGTGAGCAGGCGGGGATCAAAGAGGTCATTTTCTTCTCAGACAAGCCACCCACTCGCAACCCCAAGGACATTGCTTACGCTGCTTCTAGGAAACTGCTGGAGCTGGCAGGGGTAAAGGTACGCTCTACCCCACCTTCCCACCAACCTCTCCTCTCCGCCTCTTGCTTTCAGCAACTCTCCCCGCCGTTGCATGCTCGGTTTCTTTCCCCATGCCTCCGCGTCACCTTAGATCCAAATGCATCTCCCCCCATTTGCATCTCCCAAATCTCCCCCCATCCGCATCTTTCTCACGACACACCTGAGGCCTCAGGTGTGGCAGCACTGCCCGAAACAGGATTCGCTTACCCTTTCGTTCTCCTAAAAGCGGGGCCCGGTAGGCGTTCACCAGTCCACTTTTGAGACGTCTCAAAAGACACACGTGGCATCACATCAAGTGTGGCAGCACCACTCGCAGCTGGATTCGCTCACCCTTTTGTTCTAAAAGTGGGGCCCGGTAGGCGTTCACCACTGCACTCATTATAATGTGTAGGAAAAGGTATTTACTATGCTACTACTGTACTTTGTTTCAAGACTACCTTATAGTATAAGTCCTAATGGTGCCTGCATAAGCCAATGTTGTTCTGCACAATTCCACCTCCAAATGATAAAAGCTAACATACTAAAATGCTAAATTCTTGAACCAAGCAATGTCACTAGAGTGTTTCGATTAAATTGTTGTGTTGTAGCGTTGTGTTTGTATCAAGGCGCATCACTGTAGCCCCGCCACACAGCCCTGAACTCCTCTCTGTACGAGTTTAGCCGGGCTTTAAGATTGGGGGACCTGAAGGTAGCATGCACCACCACCACTGGTACATGCGTGAGCAGCACAGGCGGACGGGGTGGGTGTAGGATGGGGGATGGGTTGACAAAGACAAGAAGTATGGGGATAGAACAAACATTTACAAACAAAGACTCCCTGGTTACGAAATGTGGTACAAAGGAAACGAATCAGATGACACTCAAAGTCCTGCAGATGATTATGTGCCTGAGGGTTGTAAGGCAGTGAAGGGAGCATGTGTACTGGGTTGACTCACATAGAACACTTGACGTGAAGGCAACGGCAAAGGTGACGTAGGCTCTTGAGACATAGTTCAGCCATGCACTCACTGCCGGCAGCAGCAGGTGTGGGAACGAGAGGAGGTGAGGTGGTACCGAACGGTAAGGTGGGGGGGATGACGCACGTGGCGCGTAGGAGGGATGTGGGGAGGAAGAAGGATGTAGGGAGGAAGAAGGATTTAGGGAGGAAGAAGGATGTAGGGAGGAATACGAAGTTTGTGGAGAGTGGGAGATGAGAGGGTGAGTGTGTGAGAGGTTGAGAGTGGGAGCTGAGAGGGTGAGTGCGTGACGAGAGGTTGAGAGTGGGAGATGAGAGGGTGAGAGTGATGGTTAGGGTGGGAGAGGGAGAGTATGAGCAGGAGCAGTGAAGCATACATGCCAAATATACAGGAGCTGAAGGAACTAGAACCATTGCATAGCATGACAAATCGAACCATAACATCACAGCATGTGCATGGCATGACACGGCACGGCATGGCATGGCACAGCATGGCAAAGCACGGCACGGAGTGCATGGCAAGGCACGTACAGAAGAGCAGCAGGAAGAGCGCGACTCGTCTGTCCTGCCCACATATGTACACGGCGCCTCTCAACGGCCGCCCCCTCACTCCCGCTCGCCTGCACCCGGAGAGAGAGAGGAAGCATTGCGACCCCACAGGGGGGCAAGCGGGCATGCAACAGGGCGGCAGGTAATTTGGGCGGACGGAAAAGAGCGTTGGGGGGGGGGGGGGGGGGGGGGGGGAGATGGAAGAGGACAGAGAAGGGGAAGAGAATGGGGGAAGAAATAGGGGAGGGAGAGGGGGGAGGAGATGGGGGAGAGAGGCGAGGAGATGGGGGAGAGAGGGAAGGAAACAGGGGATGAGACGGGGAGATAGCGGACGACATGGGGGAGACGGGGTGACACATGGGGGCAAGGCGGGCAGGAGGTGAAAGAGCCGGCAGCAAAGCCATGAGAGCCTGGAGGGCGAGCAGCATGGGCGCGTGGGAAGCAGCGTGGGAGCGTGGCGAGCAGCGTGGGCGCGTCCGGGTGGAGAATGGATGGCTTACTGTTGCGGTGGTCGCAGCTTGGCCGCCAGAGGCGGGGAGATCTTTCTAATGGCCCTTGTCAGGCGCTCGCTGAGTGACAGCGCGAAGCTGCGGGGTGCGGGAGGGGGAAATGGGAGATGATGGGGAGATGGGGAAGGGGGAGGAGAGGAGGGGGATGGGGAGTGTGGGAGAGAGGAGGGGAGATGGGGGGAGGAGGTGATGAGGAAAGACGAAGGGGAATGGAGATGGGGAGAGGGCAACCAAGGAAAAAGCTCCAACAAGGAGTGAAAGGAATTGTGGACGGTGGAGAATGGTAGGGCACGGGGAGAAGAGTGGGAAGAGGATGGAGGGGTGGGAGAGGCGGAGGGGAGGGGAGGGGAAGGGGTGGGAACGAGTGGAGACAGAGATGGGAAGGGGGGGAGAATGGTGGGCAGAGAGAGCGACGAGGGGTCAGAGAAGAGGGAGCTGAAATGGGGATGCTAGTCGAGCCTAGCCACACGGCCGTGGCAGCAAGCGCGACTGACCTGTCGTTGAGGCTCGCGAAGGCGACGGCGGCGAAGAGCACAGCGAACAGCGCGAGCGGGTTACGGGCGAAACAGCAGGCTGGCCGCGGATGGGCAAAGGGAGGGGGGAAGTGGGGGGGGAGAGGGGGGAGGGGAGAGGGTGGGGTGGAAGGGGAGAGCAGGGGGGCCGGAAGGGAAAGGGAGGAATAGGAGGCACAAGAGGCCAAAAGATATTGTTCTTCACTCGCCCAACTTTTTTTTTTTTTTTTTTTTTTTTTTTTTTTTTGTGATTTCCGGGCGGTAATGCCGTTAGACGCTTTGCGAGGGATTTGCGCGTACCGTTGATGAAGCAGACAAGGATGTAGTAGTTGGTGCGATAGCTGCGCCACCCGCACGAAGACAACACAGGGGGGCGAGAAAAAAAAAAAAAAAAAAAAAAACGGAAAGCAGGGAACGAGAGAAATCAGGGATAGGCACGTTAGACGAGTTGCGATGACTCAAAGCGGGTCGCGCAGGGCATTGGATTGGGATCATTGTGACGGTCGATCGTTGAGGCACCTAAAAAATCGGCTCACTTCACGCACGAGTGGCACGTTCGAGCCCATAAGCCGAGCCTCACGGCAAAGTTAATTGACAGGAGGACGGCGAGCAGAAGCTTTCGAGGCGACTCGAATGTCAACAAGAGTATTCCTCCATAAATCGGACCGTCCCACTGCTTCCTAAGGATCGATCGGCACCACAGCTCAACATTCGCGAAAACTCATCGCGATCGTCGCACGGCTTTCGAAAATCGCCAAACCTAAGGGTGAGACACCTACCCGACCACGACAGAGGAAACTAGCCAAGAGGAGTAACGAATTCGCGTTATGGGGCAACAGCGAGCGCTCACTAGTACGCGTTGCACTTTAAGCGGCTGCGCCACTTGCTGGCGTTCTTGGGCGCGGAGAAGCGCTGCACGAACTCCGCGAGCGGGCGAGGCGGCGTGGACCACTCGACCTCCCGCAGCGCGTCGAGCAGCTCCTCGCCCGTCACATTGCCCCAGTCCATGCCACCACGCACCTCGGCCTTCCGGCTTCCTGCTGCTAGGCCTTACTCGTGTAGAGTGGAATCTATTGAAAGTCTAGATTAGGTGAGGATGTATGTTTCATGCACGCCCAGGATAAGGCATGTCTGGCGCTAACGCGATGTGGATCTACTCGTGCACGCTCATATTGCTGAGTGTCACTGAGCGTATATATAATACATTTAAATAAAGAGAGAAATCTTCAAGTCGGTGTAGTTTAGTGGTTAGAATCCCACGTTGTGGCCGTGGAGACCTGGGCTCGAATCCCAGCACCGACATGTCTTTGAGGATCGTTGTTGTGGTTATGGTTTTCTTTGCAAGCCATTTGGTGTTGTTTGGCAGCAATGCTTTCCCATTTTCGCTCCATAGCCTTCAATGGCCGGGATAATGACTTCGTGCCTCAAGCAGCTAGTCGCCTCCGTGGAGTGGGCAAATACCCCCCCGTGCGTCCAGCAACCAGTCCTCCCAGTCCCAGTAGTAGTGGAGGCGATTTTCTCCAGCAGCCTGACTACTACCCTGTTTTGTGTAATAAATGCTTCATGTCCATTCCAGATACGGGACATAGTCTGGAACAATTGGTAGCATGAGCGAACCAATATGTATATCTCTATAAGATGCAAATAAGACTGAAAGTTGTTTCTCAGACTTCTGCTTTTATCAGGTGAGGTTGAATATATCATGTATTGTAAATTATTTCATGTCTCTCTACATGAGGCTGGTAGCAGGTATTGCTGAATCTTGTTCACCGAAACCCATCTTGGTTCAATTGAGGAGACGAACCTGCTTTGATTGGTCAACCCCGCAAAAGACTGTTCGCGTGGCGCAGCTTCTTTCAGCCGCGTGGCACTCCGAGGAGATCCCCCCTTTGCGCGACCATTTCCCCTCCCCGCCAACTTCAGCGCTCCACCCTTCCTTCTGGCCAGATTCCCCGTTTTGCTTCTGCGCTCGGTTCCGCTCCAATCTCAGATGTTGAAATTGAATTCTGGCAGCCGTTTCTTCACGCCATGCTGAACCTCGCAATCTCAAGCTCCAAGTTACTCGCACACAGCCGTTCGCCACGAGCTAAGATCGGACTGCTTATGGCCCTGTCTCTCTCCATGCCTCTGTGCTCCTCTAGCGTCCCCTCAGCGCTGAAGAGTTCTCCTAGCGCACTGCGAGCCGAGCTCTCCGGCAAGGCCAGCAATCGGACGGTCGGGATCTGCTTGCTGCCGACTCCCTCCTCTCTCTGCGCGAACCGCCTTGTCGCGAAACCGAATTATCTGTCCGCTATCAATTCAGGACGCGCGTCGCTCTTCTTATCAAGGGCAAGACCGTCAGTGACCATGGCTGCTGCAGCGGCGACCACGGAGGCCGCAGCGGACGTGAAGGAGAACCCGCTTCTGTCGCTGAATCTCGCGTCGATTCCGCTGTTCGACAAGATCGAGCCCAAGCACGTGGTGCCGGGCATGCGCGCCATTCTCAAGGAAGTGGTACGTAGCGAGAGAGACAGAGAGAGAGAGCCACGCAACGTTTCAGGATTATAGTGTCTCTGCCCACGGGCTGTCAAGGGAGCGAAAGTCAGAGCACACAATGTCTCGTAAGTCTGGTATCTGCTTACTCAATCTCCAAACCTTCAAGTGTCTGAGCAACCAATGTCTACAGATTTCAGAAACTGAGCACCCGAGGTCTAAGGAATTACAGTCTGGGCACTCAATGTGTAAAAGAATCAAGTGCTCGAGCACCCAGCTTTCAGGAATGTAGAGTCTGATAACCCAATTCCTCAGAAATTCAGTGTCTGAGCACCCAGTTTCTCACGAATGGTTTATCTAAGTGATTGAGCACTCGAATTTCAGGATTTTAGAAACTGAGCCGTCGATTTCTCAGGCGTATGAGCCCCCAGTGTCTAATGTATTTAATCTCCGAGCGTATTTGTTTGGGGGAGTTTCACATACTTCATGCGAACCTTGGAAATCAAATTTCTGCCAATTCTATTCGCAGAGGAAATGGCAGTCCACTTAGAGACGTTTCAGCCTCGAGTGATTCCATGCGTCATCGTCTCCAGAATCTACAAAAGTTTATTCAAAGTTCCACATTATTCGATGCCAAATTGAATTCATTGCTTCGCACATTCCAACACTCACCACCACACCCACAGGAGGAGCAGCTGGACAATCTCGAGAAGAACGTGCAGCCCACGTGGGCGGGCCTCGTGGAGCCCGTGGAGCGAATCGGCGACCGGCTGAGCATCCCGTGGGGCGCGGTGAACCACCTGAACGCCGTGAAGAACTCGGACGAGCTGCGCGCGGCGTTCGAGGAGGTGCAGCCCGACGTCGTCAAGCTCTCGCTGCGCCTGGGGCAGAGCCGCCCGCTCTACGACGCGTTTGTGGCTATTAGGGGGAACCAGCAGCTGTGGGACAGCCTCAGCGTGGCCCAGAAACGCGTTGTCGAGTGTGAGTGGGTGTGTGTGGGCTGGTGTTTGTTGCTTGTGCGTGTGAGTCGGGGTGTGCGGGGTGGTGCATGCAACTCGGACGAGCTGCGGGCGGCGTTCGAGGAGGTGCAGCCGGACGTCGTCAAGCTCTCGCTGCGCCTGGCGCAGAGCCGCCCGCTCTACGACGCGTTTGTGGCAATCAGGGCGGACAAGGCGCTGTGGGAGAGTCTGAGCGTCGCCCAGAAGCGCGTCGTCGAGTGTGAATTGGGGTGTGTGGGCTAGTGTGAGTGGGTTGGAACGTGTGGGTCACTGTGTGTCGCTGCGCCTGGGGCAGAGCCGCCCGCTCTACGACGCGTTCGTCGCGACCAGGGCCGATGAGGCGGCATGGGCGAGTTTGAGCGTGGCACAGAAGCGCGTTGTTGAGTGTGAGTCGGTGTGTGTGTGCTGGCATGGTGGGTCGGCGTGGGTTCGTGCAAGGGTGCTGGTGTGTAAAAGTCGCTCTGTACTTCGTGGTTATGCAGGAGGATTAAGTCGTTATGCCTAGGCGTGCGACCCCTGGGCACAGCATAACGACTTTATCCCGCCATTCATGCACACCCTGTCAAGTTATCCACCCTTTTTCATTGCACCTGCGACTCGCTTCCCTCTCTCACATCAAATGCCGCTCCTCCACCTCTCTGCCGTGCAGCCGAGCTCATATCCGCCAAGACCAGCGGAGTGGCACTGGAGGGCGAGGCCAAGACTCGCTTCAACGAGATACAGCAGGAGCTGGCGCAGCTGAGAACCAAGTTCCAGAACAACGTGCTCGATGCCACCAAACGCTTCGTGCGTATTGTCACTGATCCTGCTGACGTGGCGGGCCTGCCGCCCTCCGCGCTGGGCTTGGCCGCTCAGGCTGCCGTTGGCAAGGTGCGTGGCTGCCGTTGGCAAGGTGCGTGAAAGCTGCTGCTGCTGGCCGCTAATGTTATTCACATCTTCCCCATCGGCCCCTGCTCCTCCATATCCTTGTATAGTCTCTTTTACTGCGTTTCACATCCATTCCCGCCCCTGCCTTCCACCGATGCAACATTTCTCTCATCACCATGGCGATGAGCATACAGGGTCACGAGGGAGCCACAGCAGAGAATGGGCCGTGGGCCTTCACTCTCGACATGCCCTCCTACCTGCCTCTCATGCAGGTATGTTTGCACACCGTGCCTCACACAGGTCTGGAACACCACTGTGCATGGCGCCCTGTCCTTTTTCTCTTGTATTATGTGACTCTCATCTGCGTTACTACCATTTATCATCCGCTGTTTATGTCATGCTTCTCATGCGTGTGTCTCATGGTTCTGTCTCGCGCCTCCTCCATCCACCTCCCCCTGCAGCACTGCCGCAACCGGGGCTTGAGGGAAGAAGTGTATCGCGCCTTTGTAACCCGCGCTTCAGAGGGCGACATCGATAACACCCCTGTGATCACGCGCATTCTGCAGCTGAAGCAGGAGAAGGCCAAGCTGCTGGGCTTTAAGTCCCACGCCGAGGTGAGACAGAGAGAGGTCGGGTGAGGCAAACACACGGTTGAATGATGCTGGCACATGCTGTCACACATGCTGTCACACATGCTGTCACACATGCTGTCACACATGTGGCATGCCCACCGCCGCCGTTTTCTTCCCTTCGTGCGACATGCTCACTTGTTTCAACCCAACTGCAGTTGAGCATGGCCAGGGTGCTTGCAGCATTGGTAGTCTTGAGTGTGTATGTCATGCCATCTCGCCAACCGCTGTATTCCACTCCCCGTTGCATGTGAGCAGGTGCCGATGCAGTGGCGCATGGCGACCATAGAGAGCGCGCACAAGCTGGTGGAGGACCTCCGGGACGCAGCCTTTGACATCTCCGTCAAAGGTGAGCCACATGCAGGCTGAAGTCTTGCAGAGGCATGCTAGAATGGCCCCTGTTGGCAAATTAGAATTTCAAATTCTCGACATTAGTTTTTAAGTTTGCAGCAGAGGCATGATTGTCAGTGAAACGTGGATTTGTTGGGGGGGGAGCGGCTGAGGGAAGGAGTCTTCTCTTGTTCAATTCATAACGTCCCCTTTTCGCTCTCCCTTCCCCCCACTCCAGAGCACGAGGAGCTGAAGGCGTTCGCCAAGGAGCAGGGCGCGGAGGAAGCAGACGACCTGAGGCAGTGGGACGTGACGTTCTGGGGGGAGCGGCTGAGGGAGGCGCGGTACGAGCTGACACAGGAGGAGCTGCGGCCGTACTTCTCCTTCCCTGTTGTCATCGACGGGCTCTTCAAGCTCGCCTCGCGCCTCTTTGATGTCTCCTTCCAGCCCGCTGATGGGGAGGCACCGGTAAGAATGAGGTTCCTGGGGCTGCTGGCTGGTTGGTTGCTAGTGGGTGGTGGCTAGGAAGCGCCTGTACTCTGTCGTGTGGCCCACTGCCCATGCTTGTCAGTAGTGCTATTGAAAGAACAGCACTCCGCTGTTGTGAGCTTCAAGGCGACTTGAAAGTCTTGCCATCCCTGACTCGCTCATCCCACCCGCCCTCTCCAGACGTGGAATCCTGACGTGCGGTACTACAAGGTGACAGACTCTTCCGGCAACACTGTCGCCTCGTTCCTGCTGGACCCCTACTCGCGTCCGGCGGAGAAGCGCGGCGGCGCGTGGATGGACGGCATCTGCAACCGCAGTGGCCTCTTTGCCGCCCCTGGCGCTGCCGCCCGCCTGCCTGTCACGCACATTGTGTGCAACCAGACGCCCCCGCTTGGGGATAAGCCCAGCCTCATGACCTTCAATGAGGTATGTGTGCCTGCGCTCAGTCCTGACTCTCCAGAAAAAATGTGGCTAGGGTAATGCTTGTGAGGGCATTCTTTTGTTCCTTCAACTCAATCCCTGGTCTCCCGTCCCCTTGTGAGTCAACTCAATCCCTGGTCTCCCGTCCCCTTGTGAGTCAACTCAATCCCTGGTCTCCCGTCCCCTTGTGAGTCAACTCAATCCCTGGTCTCCCGTCCCCTTGTGAGTCAACTCAATCCCTGGTCTCCCGTCCCCTTGTGAGTCAACTCAATCCCTGGTCTCCCGTCCCCTTGTGAGTCAACTCAATCCCTGGTCTCCCGTCCCCTTGTGAGTCAACTCAATCCCTGGTCTCCCGTCCCCTTGTGAGTCAACTCAATCCCTGGTCTCCCGTCCCCTTGTGAGTCAACTCAATCCCTGGTCTCCCGTCCCCTTGTGAGTCAACTCAATCCCTGGTCTCCCGTCCCCTTGTGAGTCAACTCAATCCCTGGTCTCCCGTCCCCTTGTGAGTCAACTCAATCCCTGGTCTCCCGTCCCCTCCTCCTCCCCCTTGTTTGCGTGGGTGGCAGGTGGAGACGTTGTTCCACGAGTTCGGGCACGCGCTGCAGCACATGTTGACTCGCCAGCAGGAGGGGCTGGTGGCGGGGATCAGCAACGTGGAGTGGGATGCCGTGGAGCTGCCCTCCCAGTTCATGGAGAACTGGTGCTACCACAGGTGCGTGTGTGCTGCTACCACAGGTGCGTGTGTGCTGCTACCACAGGTACTGTTTTGTGCTCTTAATGCCGCAGGGGTCGTCTGTGTGCTACCACCACTGCATGTGGTTGTGCTTTGCTTTGCACTTTCCACACCTCTTCTGGTCTGCCATCCGCCCATGTGCTTCAAGTGAAGTGAACTTATTATGGGACCCCCCTCTACAATCTCTTCCCCTCTGCGCCCTCCAGAGCCACGCTGCTGGGCATAGCGAGGCACTATGAGACGGGTGAGGTGCTGCCAGAGGAGCTGTACAACAAGATTGTGGCAGCCAAGAACTTCCGCTCCGCTACCATGACCATGCGCCAGGTACACCCACACCACACACCCTTGCCTCTCCGCGCCAGGTACACATAACACTACTCCCTTGGCTCTGCGCTCCCCCAAAAGCTACTACTATTACCATGCACCAGATACACACCCCACACTGCCTTCTGCTGTGTTCTCCTCCTCCGGCCCCTTCCACGCCCGCGCCACCTCTCCCTCCCCTCCCCCTTCACCAGCTGCACATTGCAGCGGTAGACCTGGAGCTGCACTGCTTGTTCAACCCCGAGGGCCAGAGGTCCATCTACGAGCTCTGAAGCCTCTGAGCCGCTTCACAACCCTCCTTTCCATCCCTCCTCCCCCCTCTTCCCTCGCCAGCTGCACTTTGCAGCGGTGGATCTGGAGCTGCACTGCTCGTTCGACCCCGAGGGCAAGGAGTCCATCTACGATGTCAACAGCCGCGTGGCCGAGCGCATGCTCGTGCTGCCGCCGCTGCCCTCTGACCGCTTCCTCTGCTCCTTCCTCCACATCTTCGCCGGTGGCTACGACGTCGGCTACTACAGCTACAAGGTGAGGCTTATAACGGGTACGCTTATGAGTGCCTTTGTTTCGCCCATTTCTGCAGAGTGTATGAAATGCGCTTTCGAGCTTGTAGTGTCTAAGCTTACATCTACTCGGAAAATGTATAACTTGGTTTTGTCACACTTTTCCCCATCCATGGCAGTGGGCGGAGGTGTTGTCAGCGGATGCCTTTGCAGCGTTTGAGGAGGCGGGGCTGGATGACGATGAGGTGAGGCATGGGGCTGGTTGACGATGAGGTGAGGCATGGGGCTGGTTGACGATGAGGTGAGGCATGGGGCTGGTTGACGATGAGGTGAGGCATGGGGCTGGTTGACGATGAGGTGAGGCATGGGGCTGGTTGACGATGAGGTGAGGCACAGAGCAGAGCTGCCTGGGTTGGGCATGGAAGTGAGCTAAGGATTGGGCAGGTCAGCCATAGCAATAGCTCCACTCCATGCGTGATTCTTCTGCGTGTGGTTTCCTCCTGCGTGTCCATGTCATGGTTCCCCAATTCCTTCACCATGATGTCTTTCTGTTGCTTCCGTATTTCTTGCTCTTATCTGTTGCGAGCTATGAGCAGGCGGTGAAGGCAACAGGGCACAAGTTCAGAGACACAGTGCTGGCTCTTGGGGGAGGCGCTGCTGCCAAGGATGTGAGTATTCAGGACTGAAGTGCCGTGCCCATGTAGTGAGGTCTCATGTTCCCACAAGGTGTACAATTTGAGGCTGACACGTGTCCCTTTTTCCAGCTGGGAAACTTACATGTAAATCATTATATGTTTGGTTTTACTGTGCAGGTGTTTGCTGAGTTCCGAGGAAGGCAACCATCAATTGAGCCCCTGCTTCGGCACAATGGGTTGGTGCCAGAGCCAGTCCCTGCTTGATGCCCGCTCTCAGTGCATATTGCATAGATTGCATGAGATACCATCAATTTGTGTTGGGAATATGCGCGTAGCGTACCATACCTAGTATAATGGATGGCTTTGTTGGAGTGATATAGTTTGTACGGTATGTGTATCTTAGAGCAAGTTATAAGTACCGTTACTAACTCAACCGTTGCTTCTTCTGCTTCGAGTTCGCAAACAGCCAAACTCAAGCCTATGGATTCTTTGACCTATCAGAAAGGTGAAAACGTCATGTACACGTCAGCCCCCTAGCCACCGACGACCTACACGAAAAAGTATCGCCCCTGGCTGTTTGCGCATGCTGGGGTGGGGGAATGATTTCCAGGTCCGGTCCGGATCCCCAATTCCAGCTTTCATGATCATCTTTCACTTCATCTCGGCCTGACCGAGCCAAATCCAGTGGTATGGACGTCACACTGAATTCACTGGTCCGAATCCCTGTGACAGCTGGCCACACCCGAACCAAGTCCTGACGTGCGCCCCAAGCCCGTGATGTCCGCTCGGATTCGTGCGCCAGCCAATCCTAGAGATCACCGCAGACCACAACTGTGCGGAAGGCAGCTGCGCGGTGGGACGGCGGTGGGTCTGTGAGTGATGCGAGGCTATGGCTGCTGAGCTGAGACGAGAGCAGCCCATAGAATTAGTGGACTTGATTCCCTACAATAAGCTCATCACTCTCAAGCAATAAGCTGAGACACTACTATAATTCTCCTGGCGACTTGCTTCGGTTCCGTTCAGTCATCCCGTCTCGAGCACCTCTTCGCCTAGCTACGTATAGTATATATAGTACGTTGGGCGTGAAGTTTGATAGTCAAGCAGCTATCCTTATTGTGAACGTTAGAAGCTCTCTCTCGTTGCCATTCGACTACGCTCTGATTCCGCACCGGGTCGTTCTGTCACTACCATCATCATGTTTGTTGGTAGAGATGGCGGAGAAGCACAGGCATCCACGTCATCGGTCGTGGTTGCTGACGCCAACATGGCGGTGCTGGCAACAGCACAGACCGTAGGCCCTTCCACGTCAGCATCCCCAATTGTAACCGTGTCGGCTCCAGGCTCATCACCCAATGACTCGAACCCGTATATAGCCGCAAAATCTAATCATGTGACGTCTTCCAATCAAGTGACGACGTCTGTAACTCCGCGAACCAACACCCACCAGGGCCTTCGGCACTGCCAGCAGCATGGAGCAGCGTCATCGCATCCTAACCATCCATCCACACAGCTGCCACCACATCGACGGCTAGGAAGAATTGCGCGTAGTTTATCATCTAAAGTCGACGGAGGTGCTATGATCGGTTCGTTGCTTCGAACCGCGATGGCGGGAATCTCGCTCAAGCGGGTGTTCTACACCGTCCTCGTTATAGGATTCGTCGTTGTGGGCCTTGTCGCAATCAACGTCGAACAGGTACGGGTCGCTTCGCCGAGTTGTTGTGTTGATTGAGCTTTTCATATGTTTGATTCAAATTATCTACAGTATGCTTAGCGATGGCAACGGCCCATTAAGAAATGTGTAGCTAACCGTTGCGGGGTATTCTTATTGGTTCAGCGGCGCGGTGCATAGTAAGGATGGACGAACAATTCTCTCCTCGTCATGCCTCCCGCCCATCGCCCTACCTCTCCCCTCCGTCTCCCAGCTGCTCAAGAGCTTTCTCCTGTGGCTCAAGAACGACGTGGGCGTGTGGGGTCCCGTCATCATGTACGTGCCGCTACTCCCTACTTCTCCTCCTGACGATGTCGTCGTAACAGTTTTCGCTCGTACCAATCCCCCTCGTAACAATCTCTCTTTGTAACAATTTCTCTACGAAATGCCGTTGCTGAGTCTTTAAAATTCACCCGTCGTTCTCTCTGTGAACGCAAATTATTTGTGAATTGCGTACCGTTGCTCTCACGGGCCGCTAAGCTCTGGTTCTTTCCTTCCCCGCCTCCCCATTCCCTCCCCTCTGTCAGGGCCCTCGCTTATATACCACTCAATATCCTCGCACTTCCAGGCGCTATCCTCACTGTAAGCAACTGCCATACACGAGATGAATGAACTTCCAATTGTTAGTGAGAGCAGACCACTCTTCGTTATAATACGAACGCCATGTATCTTAACGCAACACGGACGTGCTCTAAACGTGCGTCGTACCGCATTCCTCTTCTCTTCCGCCTTCCGCTTCATCTGTACCCTTTCTCTTTCTCCACTCCCCCCTTACTGTCCCGTCTGTCCCCTCATTTGCCCCCCCTGTCCCTCCTCTACCCCATCCTCTCCCCTCACCGCTGGTTGCGCGCAGCTGGGCGGGGGGTACGTGTTCGGGCTGCTCGTGGGCTTCGTGGCGGACTCGCTCGGCTCCACGGCCGGCGCCACCGCCGCCTTCCTCGTTGGCAAAACCGTGCGTCTCGCGCTGCCCCCCCCTTGCCCGTTTCCCCCCCCCCTTGCCCGCTGCCCCCCCCCTTGCCCGCTGCCCCCCCCCTTGCCCGTTCCCCCCCCACCTTGCCCGCTGCCCCCCCCCCTTGCCCGTCCCCCCCCCCTTGCCCGCTGCCCCCCCCCCCCCCCCCCCCCCCTTGCCCGTTCCCCCCCCCTTGCCCGCCGCCCATGCTTTGCTTCAACAAGCCCTCCCTTGTTTCCACGGCGGGCGCCACCGCCGCCTTCCTCGTCGGCAAAACCGTGCGTCCCGCGCTGCCGGTACTTGCTGACATCCCATCCCCGCCGCCTATCGTTGTTCAGAATCGATTGTTCCCACAGCCCCTCTCTAGCTTCCACGGCCCTCTCTCTTGCGTCCGTGCTTCCTCCATGTCTACCTCGCCCGTAGCCGGCTCGTTTGGCAACACCCGTGTCTCGCCAGCCCACCACTTCCCCACACCCATCCTATGCTTCACGCCCCACCCGTTCCCGACACTCCACCCGTTCCCGCTAACCCTCCCATGCCCGCCCGCCCGCCCACGGCCTCGTGCGGTGCAGATCGGGCGCTCATACGTGTCGGCGAAGCTCAAGGAGTACCCGCAGTTCCAACCAGTCGCGCACGCCATCTCCAAATCCGGTTTCAAGGTCACACTCGTCTCCCTGCACTTCCTTCCCAATAACTGCTTTTCTCTCCGTCCTTCACCCCATCTCTTTCTCCCTCGTCTCCCTCCCACATCTCCTCCCTCCTCCATCGCTTAATCCCACTTCCCCACTCATCCCCTACCCCACACACCTCTGCTTTTCTGCCACCTGAATATCGAGTTTCTCGGCCTCCTCTCTCCCTATTTCCTGCAAACTATCTCGCCCCCTATAATCCGCTCCCTCCCCCCTTCACGCTCCCCCGCCCCCTCATGCTCCCCCGCCCCCTCATTCTCCCCCGCTCCCTCATTCTCCCCCGCTCCCTCATGCTCCCCCGCCCCCTCATTCTCCCCCGCCCCCTCATTCTCCCCCGCCCCCTCATTCTCCCCCGCCCCCTCATTCTCCCCCGCTCCCTCATGCTCCCCCGCCCCCTCATGCTCCCCCGCCCCCTCATTCTCCCCCGCTCCCTCATGCTCCCCCGCCCCCTCATGCTCCCCCGCCCCCTCATTCTCCCCCGCTCCCTCATGCTCCCCCTCCTCATCACGCTCCCCCGCCTCCCTCATTTCCCCCGCGCCTGGCAACATCACATATCGTGCTGTTTCTGCGGCTGGTGCCCATCCTGCCCGTCAACGTGATGAATTACGTGCTCTCCATGACGGCACATCCCCTCTCTTTCTCTAAGCCCGTTCTGCATCTGCTCCCGCGCCCCCTCATCCTCCCGCGCCCCCTCATCCTCCCGCGCCCCCTCATCCTCCCGCGCCCCCTCATCCTCCCTCGCCCCCTCATTCTCCCCGTCTCGTCCCCCTCACAGATCGTGCTGCTGCTGCGGCTGGTGCCCATCCTGCCATTCAACGTGATGAACTATGTGCTCTCCGTCACGCCCATCAGCCTCTCCTCCTACGTCCTCGCCTCCTGGATCGGCATGATGGTTAGTGCTGGGCGTGGCAAGGCATGCAGGCATGATGGTCATTGGTGGGTGCGTGGGGGGTGATGATGACTACTGGGCATGAGAATCAGGCATGAGGATCAGTGTCTATCCCTTGCCTCTCCCCTCCCCTCCCTTGCCTCTCCGCCTCCCCTCCCTTGCCTCTCCCGCTCCCCTCCCTTGCCTCTCCGCCTCCCCTCCCTTGCCTCTCCCGCTCCCCTCCCTTGCCTCTCCCGCTCCCCTCCCTTGCCTCTCCCTCTCCCCTCCCTTGCCTCCTCTGCCTTCCTCCTTCAACCCCCACAGCCCATCACCTTCACCTTCGTGTATCCGAGCACCACCATCAAAGTCGTATTCTCCCTTGTCTCTCCTCCCCTCCCCGCCCTTGGCTCGGCAGCCCATCACCTTCACCTTCGTGTATCTGGGCACCACCATTAAAGACATTTCGGAAATCGGCTCCCCGGGAGCTGCTGGGGCATCGCAATGGGTCAGTGCGCTTACAGGGTGTTAGCGCTTATAGGAGGGGTGGTGCTTATGGGAGGATGGTGATTATGGGGGGTTGGTGCTTATGGGGGATTGTGCTTACGGGGGGGTGGTGCGTATCCGTGAGGGGTGTGCGTGTGCACGGCCATGTGTGCGTGTGCACGGCCATGTGTGCGTGTGCACGGCCATGTGGTGCGCTGCTGTTCTGAGACGCACCTGTACTATCCCACCATCTACCCCCAAGTCTTGCTGCATGTGGCATCTAGCCCCATTTTCCCTTACCTGTGCCTGCAACTCACTCTCCCCTGTATGCCCCCCTTCCCTGCCTCCCCCCTTCCCTGCCTCTCCCCCCTTCCCTACCTCCCTTTTTCTCTCTCCTTTTGTCCCTCTGTGATGGTGCATCTGCAGTGGATGCTTGGGGCCGGCCTTGCTGTCACAAGTGAGTGATCACACTGCATCTCCGTGTTCCTCGCAATCCCCCTGTCCCTTACATCAACTCACACTACTACCTTGCTACCCTCACACATCATGTCTTGCCACCTTCATCGCTTGCAAGAACCCTAGCACCCATCCATCCACCCCACATGCCATCTGCTCCTTTTCCCACTGATCCCACCGCACTCCCTTCCCTCTTGAAGCGGCCCAACCCAACAATCCTTTTCCCTAGAACAAGGGACCACTATCACCTGCCTTCCACTCATGCCAGCCCTGCTATCCCTACTCCTCCCTCTGCCTGCTGCAGTCGTGGCGACTGTGCTTATAACGAGGATAGCAAAAGACGCCCTGCAGAGGGCGATAGAGGAGAACCAGCAGCAGCACTGCGGCCTGCTCTCGCCCCCCGCCTCTTGCTCCTCCACCCCCACCGCCCTCACTCCCCACACAAACAACACGTACCATGTCCCCTCTCCGCACTCCATGGAAGCTTGTTCTAGCAGCAGCAGCAGTTGCTCGAGCAGCAGTGCAGTCAGCAGCAACACCAGTAGCAGTAGCACCACCAGCAGCAGTAGCAGCAGCATGGGCTCAGACAGCCGATCTGCCGTTCTCACCATCCCTGATGGTATCCACCACCCCTCTGTGGGCTCCCTGCTCTCAACACACACCTCATCCTCACACTACGCTCCTCACGCGGCCTCCTTCCCTTTCCAAAAACCACCTGAGCAACCACCTGAGCAGGCACCTGAGCGAGCACCTGGGTGCATGGATCACACGGGGTCAGCTGTGTGTGCCATCACTGTAGACGACACGAACAAGCATCGGGAGGGTGGGGCGAATAGACTAAGGGTGGAAGGGGGAAAGCGACAATCAACACTACCCAGTAGGTATGCTGCATGAACACGAAGGATTGTAGGGGGAGTCATAGGCATGGTGATGCACAGATGAGTTTGGGGTGTTAGTGTTGGCTGTGCCTGTGATGCCTTGGACCACAGCTGCTGCTGCACTGGTGCTATGCTTTATGGGCAGAAGATGCACAACTGGTGAGATGTGCTGGAGAGGAAAAGGGTCATACATCTCTGCATGCATCCAATACATATACGGTATGCACAGTCCGGTTGAGATAGGTTTAGAGGATCTTACTCGCCACTCCAGCTGTCCTGTTGCTTACATCCAATATATACATCCAATATAAGAACAGCCATTAACTCCTGGCTCCTTCCCTGCGCAGTTTTTCTTGCATGCCGTATATTTTGCACGATTTTGTGCTTCCAGTGCTACCGTAGCAACCAAAGGCAGGGCTATTTCGGATTTTCCGACTACTGCTGCTGTTCGCAAACCAATGCAAGAGATGACGATGATACATGGTACGGTTGTACACACAATGTGATGCGAGAGAGTAAGGCCTACATGATAACTGAGGGTTCTGGTCTGGAATCAATTAGCAAGAGGGGGCAATTGTGGCCTATCCTACCTACAACGTACCTACAACGTACCTACAACACAGCATACACACCTGACCCTCCACTCCCTTCAACAGGGCTTCAACACCCTCCCTCCCAATTCCTCCTCCACTCATCATTGCCCCTCCACTCATCACCCCTCCTCCACTCATCACCCCTCCTCCACTCATCTCCCCTCAACCTCCTTCACACTCAAGAGGCTCTGAAGGCTGTGACCAGCCGTCTTCCCGCCTGCTGGCTGCATCACTGCACTATCCCCACCGCCCTCCCCTCCCGCCATCTCCCCTTCACTCATGCCCAGTGCAGACGCCACAGACATCATCAGCTTTGATCTCGTACTCGAGCCAGCCGCCCCACTCTTACCCGATGCCATGCTCACACCCGATACCTCGCTGATACCACTCACCGGGGCCTTACTCATCACACCGCTCTGCACCGTGCTGTTAAACGACGAATGCATCACCCCGGAAGATGGGAAGCTCATTCCCGATCCAACGGCTGAGCTCGTGCCAGCCTGGCTCCTCAGCCCCGCATCGCTCGCGCTGCTGCTCAACCCAGAAACAATCCCACCAAGGTCATTCTCGCCCTCATACTCCTCCGTGTAGGTTTGCAGCAGGTGATCCAGCCGCCTCACCACGTCCTTCATCTCAGGCCGCCGCGACCCGGGCGCCTTGATGCAGTCAAGGGCCAGGTCAGCCCACTCCACAATGGCCTCCTCGGGAATCTCCAGCGACTTGTCCCTCAGATCGTCCAGCGTGTATTCTGCCACCATCTTGCTCGCCTGGGGATGGGCAGGAGGGGAAGAGGGGGAGCGGGAGGAGGGAGGGGCTGAGTTTTGAGGTGGCTCAGTACAGGTCAGCCCACTCCAATATAGCCTCCTCGGGAATCTCTAGCGACTTCTCCCTCAGGTCGTACAGCGTGCATTCTGCCACCATCTTGCTCGCCTGAGGAGGGAACGGGGGAGGGGAAAGGACGAAAGGAAGCGAGGAGAGGGTAGCAGCATAAGAGAACACAGACTAGAATATGCGCCATGAAGTCCTATGCTGATGTGTCAGTGGATGATTTGCTGAAATTTGATTCTCAGGAGTCTGCTGACGTGTCTCTCACCCATTTGCCGATGTGGGAGCTGCCGCCCATGGTGACCTTGCGCGCTGTCAGCATCTCCAGCAGCACCACCCCAAAACTGACACATGGCATGCGAGGGGTAAGAGGGTGTACACGGACGAGGGCGTTGAGGGGACACTGGATGCTATGATTGGGGTCAATTGGGGTCGATTGGGGCATGGGGCATGGGCATGGGGCATGGGGCATGGGGCATGGGCATGGGGCATGGGGCACGGGCAATGGGCATGGGGCATGGGGCATGGGCAATGGGCATGGGGCATGGGGCATGGGCAATGGGCATGGGGCATGGGGCATGGGCATGGGCATGGGGCATGGGCATGGGGCATGGGCATGGGGCATGGGCAATGGGCATGGGCATGGGGCATGGGCATGGGGCATGGGCAATGGGCAATGGGCATGGGGCATGGGGCATGGGCAATGGGCATGGGGCATGGGGCATGGGCAATGGGCATGGGGCATGGGGCATGGGCAATGGGCATGGGGCATGGGCAATGGGCATGGGGCATGGGGCATGGGCATGGGCATGGGGCATGGGCATGGGGCATGGGCATGGGGCATGGGCAATGGGCATGGGGCATGGGGCATGGGCATGGGGCATGGGCAATGGGCATGGGGTGCAAGGTGGAATTATGCAGGAGGATGCTGCAGTCCATTATGTAGTACAATAGCCCGGTGTGCCGTTTCAGTCGACTCGAAAATCACCTGCAAGCACCACTGTCAGCCGCCCACCTGCAACCACCATTATTAGCACCCACCCACCTGTACACATCGCTCTTGGTGGTGACCATCTGGGTGCGATTGTAATCCGGGTCCACATAGCCCGGTGTGCCCGCCACCCTGGTTGCGGTCTCATCCCCCACCTTGAGCGTCTTGAGCAGCCCAAAATCTGCGATCTTGGCCTGGGCGGGCGGGCAAGGGGCGCAGGAGGGTGGGGAAAGCAAGGAGGGGAGTGCGGGGAAAGCAAGGAGGGGAGTGCGGGGAAAGCAAGGAGGGGAGTGCGGGGAAAGCAAGGAGGGGAGTGCGGGGAAAGCAAGGAGGGGAGTGCGGGGAAAGCAAGGAGGGGAGTGCGGGGAAAGCAAGGAGGGGAGTGCGGGGAAAGCAAGGAGGGGAGTGCGGGGAAAGCAAGGAGGGGAGTGCGGGGATGGTTGAAGCACTCTCATCCCCAGCCTTGAGCGTCTTGAGCAGCCCAGAATCTAATATATTTGCCTGAGAGGGTTCGGGGGGCAAGGAGGAGAAAGTGAGGAGGGCAGGTGAGGTAGTTTAGAGCGTCTTGACTTGAGCAGCCTGAAGTCTGCTATCGTTGCCTGTGAGGGGGTCGCAGGTGGGCAAGAGAGGGGAAGTGGGGAAAGTGAAGGGGGGGAGTGGGGAAAATGAGGGGATGTTAGGGGATGCTCTCAAACCGCATCTTCAGCATCTTGAGGTTTGAGGCTCAGGGTGAGGTAGTAGTGGCATCGCAAGGCGACAAGCTCTAAGGCTAGCGGCAGGGCTAGGGCCCGGAGGATAGAGGCTCACTGTGAGGTGGTGGCATGGCAGGGCTAGGGCCCGGAGGATAGAGGCTCACTGTGAGGTTTTCCCCAACGAGGATGTTGGCTGGCTTGATGTCGCGGTGAATGATGGGATTCTCAAAGCCGTGCAGATATGCCAACCCCTCCGCTGCCCCCACCGCCAGCTTCAACCGCTGCCGCAGGTTCAACGGGCCTGGGCAGGGGATGTGGAAAGAGAGGGGGAGCGGGGAGGAGGGGGATGAAAGAGTGGGGGGAAGAGGTGGAGATGGAGAGGTGGCTGGATGGCGAGCTTGAGTAAAAATGGCTGATGTTCACAGTGCGGGCGTTTCTGTTAGCAACTCTCGCTCTGTTAAATGAAATAGCCATGCTTGTTTCTGCAGATGTGGCACTCACGCTTGGGCTTGTGGATGGACACTCACGCTTGGGCTTGTGGATGTGGTACTGGAAGTCGCGGTGTGGCACGAACTCGTACACGAGGATCTGCTCCTGCTTGCCGCTCTCCACGTTCATGTCCAGACAGAACCCCAGCAGCCGCACCAGGTTCTTGTGGTTCAGACTCGCCATCGCCCGCACCTAGGAATCAAAGAACAAGCACGTGGGTTAGGGCACAAGCACTGCCAAACTGCTAGTACGGCAGCAGCAATGAGTACATAATCGCCACCTTCCAGGATCCGACAATGAAGGTAGGATATTTTTAGCTCAACACTTGTTGGCAGAGCGGGAAAGGGTGAGGGTGGGAGGGTCGGTGACGCCCTTGGATGTGATGTGGTGCGCTTGGTTCGCGCGCCGGGAGCTGGGAACACGACGCACACCCCATACTCGTTACAGGCATTCTCACCTCCATTTCAAAGTCGTTAGACATGAGCGTTTGCCTCTTGATGGCCCAGAGCTGCCCGGTGGCAGGGTTGACGCCCTTGTACACGACAGCAAAGCCCCCCTCGCCCAGCACGTTCCCCTCCGCCCAGTCGTTGGTGGCCTTGCGTATCGTGGCGATGGAGAACTCCTGACACACATCCAGGTCGTCCCATCGGCCTGGGGAGAGGAGAGGTTGGGAGGGCGGGGTGGGGAGGAGAGTGGGAAGCGCATGTGGGGGAAGGAAGGGAGCGTTAGAGGCGATTGAGAGGCGGACATGAGGGCTTTGTGCATCGTGGTTATGGAAAACTCCTGTCACACGTCCAGGTCATCCCACCGGCCTGAGAAAGGGCGGAGAGGGAGAGTGGGAAGGGAGAGAAGGAGGGAGTGTGATGAGGGGGAGCGGGGAGGGGAATGAGAAAAGGATGAGTGTTGAGCAGTGGCATTGCAGAACTCTCCGAGTGCGAGCAACAGAAAAACTCGAACCTCAATCGAAAGCTTCAAACACGCATCCAGGTCATCCCAACTTCCTGGGAAGAAGAGAGCCTTCGGTTCGGAGGATGTGAGGAAACGGGGGAGTGGGACCTAGGAGTCGGGATAAATGGCAGTGATACAAAGCATGCAGCTTTCATTGAAATCACTTTTGAGAATTCTCAGAAGTGATTTCAATATAGTGATACAAAGCATGCAGCTTTTCCGTAGCGACATAGGGGCAAGTGACGTTCATAAGCCCAGCTGCATACAGCGTGGCAGTCGATACAAAGCATGCAAGAGCAGGCAGAAGGGCAGCACTCACGTCTCTTCTTCTTGCGGAGCATGATGACGAGCACCGCGGCAATGAGAGCAAGTCCCGTGAAGCACCCCACTGAGATGCCCACTATCGCCCCCGTTGACAGCGCTGCGGGGAGGGGTGAGAGGGAGGATGAGGGGAAGAGAGCGATGGGAAATGGGCCAATGGCCACCATGGGAGCGAGCCCCATGAAGCACCCCGCTGCGATGCCCACGATGGCCCTCGTGGATAGTGCTGTGAAGCGGGGAGGTGGGCGAGACAGACGGATGGGATGAGGAACGGAGAGAGGGTGGCAAATGAGATGCATTGCGTGGACAGGTGAGTCGTCTCACGCATAAGGAGAACTGTTGCAAACACGCAACCGAGAGGCACTCACAGGACTTGGTGGTCTGAATTGCACAGGAGGAGCCATTGCCATTGGCAGCAGGCACAGTGGAATACGGCGCATTGCAGCGGCACGTGAAGCCCTGCCCGCTGCTCCCCGGCTCAGGCGGCACGCAGTCCCCCACCCCGTTGCACACGCCACTCTCCGTGATGCTGCAAAACGCTGCACACTCCTCCGGCGCCCGCTGCGTCTCGTTCACGAGGCACCCCGCCTCGCCGCGCACTGCCAGGCAGTTCTGCAGCAGACTCGCCTGCCCTTTCTCATACGCCACAGACACCCGATAGTCCTGCCGCCCGGAAGTTGAATCTGCCGCCACCACCCCGCCTGCGGTCGCCCCTATGGAGGCTATATCGTGGTAGTCAATGTCGCGAATGACGGGTGTCGGGCAGATCATGCTACCAGCGGCATACACAAAGGGCTCTCCGTAAAAGTAGTTGGACGCGAGGTTGAGCGCGGCGGGTTTGGGGTTCTGCGCTGTGGGCTGGTTGTTCATGCCCTTGAAGTCGCGGTTTATGGTGCCGTAGAACGAGTTGTTGCGCACGTCGCTGGTGGGGAGGGGGGGGAGAGGCGGGAGAGGCTTTGACGGGAATGAAAGGCTTGTGGAAACAGGGGTCACTCGGTCTAGTTTTTCATCCCCTTGAAGTTGCGGTTTATCTGCCGTAGAATGAGTTGTTGCACACGTCACTGGCGGGAGGAGTGGAAGGGAGCATGGTGTAGAGGAGTAGAGGAGAGAAGCATCAAGGAAACAGCAGGTTGAGGAGTAGAGGGCAGGGTCAGAGCATGATGGCCATTGCATGTGTCCAGGGGCCGTTGCACCTTGGGTATCAGCAAGGAATGAAGGGAATATGGGCCACGCAAAGGGGCAGCACACTCACAGGTAGTTGAGTCTGAGGAAGTCAAACATGCAGCACACTCACAGGTAGTTGAGTCCGAGGAAGTCAAACATGCAGCACACTCACAGGTAGTTGAGTCCGAGGAAGTCAAATATGCAGCACACTCACAGGTAGTTGAGTCCGAGGAAGTCAAACATGCAGCACACTCACAGGTAGTTGAGTCCGAGGAAGTCAAACATGCAGCACACTCACAGGTAGTTGAGTCCGAGGAAGTCAAACATGCAGCACACTCACAGGTAGTTGAGTCCGAGGAAGTCAAACATGCAGCGCGCTCACAGGTAGTTGAGTCCGAGGAAGTCAAACATGCAGCGCGCTCACAGGTAGTTGAGTCCGAGGAAGTCAAACATGCAGCACACTCACAGGTAGTTGAGTCCGAGGAAGTCAAACATGCAGCGCGCTCACAGGTAGTTGAGTCCGAGGAAGTCAAACATGCAGCGTGGCAGCGGCCCGTACATGCGGTTGTTGCGCACGCCACTGGCGGCAGGGAGCGGCGAGGAGGAGAGTAGACGGGGGAGCGGGGGGGAGGGAGGGAGGGGGGAGGACTGGCAGGGTGTCAGGAGTTCGAGGCACCTCAGAACCCGTGAATGCACTGCTGCATGCGTTTTTACAAGGGGTTGCAGAGAGAGGAAAGGTGTGGCAGAAAAGAGCGAGGAGACTTTATCTATACTGGCTCAAAGAAGCGATTAGAGAGGAGGCGAAAGAGCATGCATCACGGAAGCACATGCATGCATCACGGAAGCACATGCATGCATTACGGAAGCACATGCATGCATCATGGAAGCACATGCATGCATCATGGAGGCACGTGCATGCATCATGGAAGCACATGCATCATGGAAGCACATGCATGCATCATGGGAGCACATGCATGCATCATGGAGGCACATGCATGCATCATGGAGGCACATGCATGCATCATGGAAGCACATGCATGCATCATGGGAGCACATGCATGCATCATGGAGGCACATGCATGCATCATGGGAGCACATGCATGCATCATGGAAGCACATGCATGCATCATGGAGGCACATGCATGCATTATGGAAGCACATGCATGCATCACAGAAGCACATGCATGCATCATGGAAGCACGTGCATGCATCATGGAGGCACATGCATGCATCATGGAAGCACATGCATGCATCATGGAAGCACATGCATGCATCATGGAAGCACATGCATCATGGAAGCACATGCATGCACCATGGGAGCACATGCATGCATCATTGAGGCACATGCATGCATCATGGCGGCACATGCATGCATCATGGACGCACATGCATGCATCATGAAGCACATGCATGCATCATGGAAGCACATGCATGCACCATGGAGGCACATGCATCCATCATGGAAGTACATGCATGCATCATGGAAGCACATGCATGCATATGGAGGCACATGCATGCATCATGGAAGCAAATGCATGCATCACGGAAGCAAATGCATGCATCATGGAAGCACATGCATGCATCATGGAGGCACATGCATGCACAATGAAAGCACATGCATGCATCATGGGAGCACATGCATGCATCATGGCGGTGCATGCATCATGGAAGCACATGCATGCATCATGGAGGCACATGCATGCATTATGGAAGCACATGCATGCATCACAGAAGCACATGCATGCATCATGGAAGCACATGCATGCATCATGGAGGCACATGCATGCATCATGGAGGCACATGCATGCATCATGGAAGCACATGCATGCATCATGGAAGCACATGCATGCATCATGGAAGCACATGCATGCACCATGGGAGCACATGCATGCATCATTGAGGCACATGCATGCATCATGGCGGCACATGCATGCATCATGGAGGCACATGCATGCATCATGAAGCACATGCATGCATCATGGAAGCACATGCATGCATCATGGAGGCACATGCATGCATCATGGCGGCACATGCATGCATCATGGAGGCACATGCGTGCATCATGGAGGCACATGCATGCATCATGGAAGCACATGCATGCATCATGGAAGCACATCCATGCATCATGGACATACATGCATCATGGGAGCATGCATCATGGAAGCACATGCATGCATCATGGAGGCACATGCATGCATCATGGAAGCACATGCATGCATCACGGAAGCTAATGCATGCATCATGGAAGCACATGCATGCATCATGGAGGCACATGCATGCATAATGAAAGCACATGCATGCATCATGGGAGCACATGCATGCACATGCATGCATCATGGCGGCACATGCATGCATCATGGGAGCACATGCATGCATCATGGGAGCACATGCATGCATCATGGCGGCACATGCATGCATCATGGAGGCACATGCATCATGGAAGCACATGCATGCATCATGGAAGCACATGCATGCATCATGGAAGCACATGCATGCATCATGGGAGCACATGGAGGCACATGCATGCATCATGGCGGCACATGCATGCATCATGGAGGCACATGCATACATCATGGCGGCACATGCATGCATCATGGAGGCACATGCATACATCATGGGAGCACATGCATGCATCATGAAGGCACGTGCATGCATCATGGCGGCACATGCATGCATCATGGAGGCACATGCATGCATCATGGCGGCACATGCATGCATCATGGAGGCACATGCATGCATCATGGCGGCACATGCATGCATCATGGAGTCACATGCATGCATCATGGGAGCACATGCATGCATCATGGAGGCACATGCATGCATCATGGCGGCACATGCATGCATCATGGAGGCACATGCATGCATCATGGAGGCACATGCATGCATCATGGAGGCACATGCATGCCCTCCTAACATGCGCGTGGCAGCCATGCCTTGGTGAGGAGGCATAGCATCAGTCAACTCACAAGTATTCAAGTCGCTTGAGATTGCAGAAGGAAGCTGGCAGAGAGCCCGAGATCTGATTGTCATCCAGCATACTAGCATTGGCGGCGAGGGGTGGTGGTGCGAGCGAGCCAATACAAGGGCAGATGGGAGGAATTGTGAGGGAAAGGTGAAGAAGGGTAGGAGGGATCACAGGAGCATGGGAAAGAAAAATCGACACAGAGGATTTGGACACGTTTCAGAAATGGTGAACGGTGGAGCAGAGGAGATGTGACATCAGAAGTGTGTTGTGTGAGGGTTGACAGCGGGAGCGGAGAGGAGATCGGCAGTGAGGTGGGGAGGGAAGGGAGGGAAGGTAAAGAACGCACAGCTGTCGCATGTTTGAGAGGGATGCAAAGAAGTCAGGGATAGTGCCTGAGAGCTGATTGCCTGCCAGCCATCTGCACAGTCGGCATGAGGAGTTAAAGAGGCAGGAGGGATGGGATGGGACTGACTGGGGTTGGGAGCAACGAGGGTTGGGTGCAAACGAGTTGGTTGCAAGGCCTTGAAGAATAGGATTCACTGAACCAGAAAAATTGTGGAAACAGGGAGGGGGGATGAAAAGCAAGGAATGAGGGGAGACGGAGGGGATGGGCAGGGAAAAAAACGAAAGGAAACAGGGAGTGCAAGAGGGTGTATAAGGAAAGGGAAGGGAGGGGCAGGAAGCGAAACGGAAAGAAAGGCAATGGAATGGATGGAACGGAAAGGAAGGGGATGATATGGAAGGGAAGGGCCTGGATGGAACGGAAGGGAAGGGAATGAATGGAAGAAAAGGAAGGGAACAGGTGGAAAGGAAGAATAGGCTGGAGTGGAGCAAAGGAAGCACACAGCACACACGCCTTTTCACATTGCACACACACGCCTGCTCACATTGCACACACACGCCTGCTCACATTGCACACGCACGCCTGCTCACATTGCACACACACGCCTGCTCACATTGCACACACACGCCTGCTCACATTGCACACACACGCCTGCTCACATTGCACACACACGCCTGCTCACATTGCACGCACACGCCTTTTCACATTGCACACACACACCTTTTCACATTGCACACACACGCCTGCTCACATTGCACACACACGCCTGCTCACATTGCACACACACGCCTGCTCAAATTGCACACACACGCCTGCTCAAATTGCACACACACGCCTGCTCAAATTGCACACACACGCCTGCTCACATTGCACACACACGCCTGCTCACATTGCACACACACGCCTTCTCACATTGCACACACACGCCTTCTCACATTGCACACACACGCCTTCTCACATTGCACACACACGCCTTCTCACATCGTGTCAAGGGTCGTGAGAGCCGAAAGAGAAGTTGGAATGCTGCCCGACAGCTGGTTGAACTGAAGAGTGCTGCAGCATGGCGAGTATGGAGCACAATGCATAGAGAACGGAACATGGACCTCTGAGCATTGAGCATGGAGCACATAGCATTGAGCACAGAGCATAGAGCATTGAGAATCAAACATAGAGTATAGAGTCCACACAAGACATCCGACACGGTCAGTAACACGCGACAGATGCTGACGGTTACAGTGGTGGTTACCACACGGACTGGGTTACGAGGATGGTTACTGCAAGGAACGGCAGCAGAGCTCATGGCAGACTGCACCGCCCAGAGCAAGGATGCTCAGGCTATTTGCTCGTCACAGCTATTTGCTGGTCACTCATGCCATACATTCTGCCAAACATTGCTTTCTGCAGTAAATCGCCTGCTGCACTGCAATGGCTTACATGGTAAGGAGGGAGGTGATTGTAGTGAGCGAGTCAGGAATGGAGCCTGTGAAATTGTTGAACCCAAGGTATCTATGGCAGTGTGGGGCATGGCACAGAAAAGTGGTTCTCTGAAAGGTGTGCCTCTAAAAGGTGTGCCTCTGAAAGGTGTGCCTCTAAAAGGTGTGCCTCTGAAAGGTGTGCCTCTAAAAGGTGTGCCTCTGAAAGGTGTGCCTCTAAAAGGTGTGCCTCTGAAAGGTGTGCCTCTGAAAGGTGTGCCTCTGAAAGGTGTGCCTCTGAAAGGTGTGCCTCTGAAAGGCGTGCCTCTGAAAGGCGTGTGCACGTTAGAAGATTCTCGACAGGCACCATTGAGGATTCCCAAGAATAACACCACATCACTCAAGGCGCATCAACACTTTCAGTGCACCAAAATGAGGTAAGACTCGTGCAGAACGGAGGGCAAAGAGACGCTGATAAGAGGAAAGGCAGCAGGAAGAGAGTGGACAAAGTTACTGCATGGTGCAGAGGCGTACAGAGCAGTGAGGCTGGTGTTCCACTGGGCGAAGTCAGGCAGAGGGCCACTGAACGAGTTGCCCTCTAGATTGCTGCGAGACAAGCATGGGCCCAATGGGAGGGTGTCGTTCGTTTTTAGTCGAATCATAACAAAGATTGCTGCGAGACAAGCATGGGGGGAATGGGAGGGTCTGGTAGTGCGAGGGAGAGGGGGAGAGTTGATGGGATGATGGGCACAAACACCAGCACAGAGCAACAGGAGATTCAGAAGGAGAAAGGAGGCGAGGAGGCAAGGAGGCGAGGAGGCGAGGAGGCAAGAAGGAGAGGAGGCAAGGAGGCGAAGAGGCAAGGAGGCGAGGAGGCAAGGAGAAGAGGCAAGGCTGGAAATGAAGCATCGAAAGCATGGCGGCCCTTGCTTCCAAGTTGCTGCAAGCATATTCCTGTGCCATTAGGAGTGAAAGCACCTGTGCCCAGTTGCAAAAAAAACAGAGTATGAACGCCTACACACAATGGCAGGATCTCGCTCTCACAGCGCGCTAGGCAGCACTCACAGCGCGCTAGGCAGCACTCACAGCGCGCTAGGCAGCACTCACAGCGCGCTAGGCAGCACTCACAGCGCGCTAGGCAGCACTCACAGCGCGCTAGGCAGCACTCACAGCGCGCTAGGCAGCACTCACAGCGCGCTTAGCAGCACTCACAGCGCGCTAGGCAGCACTCACAGCGCGCTAGGCAGCACTCACAGCGCGCTAGGCAGCACTCACAGCGCGCTTAGCAGCTCTCACAGCGCGCTAGGCAGCACTCACAGCGCGCTTAGCAGCACTCACAGCGCGCTAGGCAGCACTCACAGCGCGCTAGGCAGCACTCACAGCGCGCTAGGCAGCACTCACAGCGCGCTTAGCAGCTCTCACAGCGCGCTAGGCAGCACTCACAGCGCGCTAGGCAGCACTCACAGCGCGCTAGGCAGCACTCACAGCGCGCTTAGCAGCACTCACAGCGCGCTAGGCAGCACTCACAGCGCCAGCGCGCTAGGCAGCTCTCACAGAGTGCCGAGCGTGGTACTGGCGTCGAGGCTTTGAGGAATGCTGCCTTGGAAATGATTGTCTGAGAGGTACCTGGATTAGCGCACAGCACAGGAGAGAGCACACAGCACAAGAGAGAGCACACTCAGCACACACATTGTATGGTCAAATGGCACTGAGGCAATATGGCATGCAGGGTCAATAGATGGAAGAGTTGAACGATTCAGAACGGGAGGAGTGACGGGAGAGGTGGGGAGATGCACATTGTCTTTTCTTCCTATTGCTGAGTGAGTGGTGAGGGATGGGTCGTTTTTTTAGCCGGCTCGAGAATCGGAGCAAGCCTTTTCAAATGAAGCTGCTGCGCGGTGAGTGAGTGACTGATGGAGAGGCGAACGACAACGGCGCATGGGACAGCGGCGCAACAGACTGAAACGGGGAAAAACAGACGGTCGTGGTCTTCACACACAAGGAAGGGAGGGACGGTGGGAGGGAGGGA